GAAAAGGCTGACATGTTCCTACTCACAGTTATGTCTCGTGACGCACAGCCTGGTTGTTGTTCAGCTTTGCTAATGCAAATAAACAAAACAACAACAAAAAAAATAAATAACCGCACAATTCCGCTCTCGCAGTGTTTCCCTAAATAAGAAATTCAAATCAAAATTGCAAATTGCCCTTATTTTTAATTAGTGCAAGACAACTTGATTAGCTACCTAAGAACATGTATTATAAACAGAACAGAATCTGTGAAACAAAAAGATTCATGAAACATGTTTGGCTTTTGTTAAAACACAAAGATTTCATTCTCACAGCTTTTTTTTTTTTTTTGGCATGAAGGCAACCACATATAATTTTTTTTAAAAAAGATAAGGAAAGTCAGTCCTGGGTGTGGTCATTTTGGACTGATTACTGGTCCAAACATCGTTTGTAAGTCGTGAAACTTTTATTCAATTTGTGAAAGAAAGAAAAAAGTAATAGGATTCTTTATTCTCCCAAAAGCTGTGACCAACTTGTTCCTTTGAACCTGACATCTTCTGCTTTGTTAAGATTCTCCACACAGTGCTCTCCTGCAGTGCTCGCTTTTATCAAAACGCGATTTTACGCACGCAACAATTTGTCATGGACGAGTTGCAGCGAGAGGAGAGCAAACACTGGGCCGCCTAATTAAACTACAAGAAAAAACAAACAAATAATTCACATCGTGAGTCAAAGTGTCCTCCTTCGTTTAATCTCCAGTTCTTGGTGATAACCTGCAATTAAGTCGTTTCTATAAAGCTGACATTATGACATCCTGTATTTGGGAAAGTCTCATTATCTGGCAGCGACGGGCAAAAAGCTCGTCTCAAAAACACCAATCAAATCGATCTGAGAACTAAACTCTAGACAGAGTCCCGGCCAGAGACTGGCCAACAAATGGAGAGTCACTGAAACTGGAACGTTTTGACCAAACGTGTGATTTCAACACATGTGGAATCCCGCGGTACCGCAGGCGTCTCTTCCCGGTTATTTTCCGAGGCAAATTGCTTATTGAGGGATTAATATTAAGTCCGTCAAGGAAATTACACATGTATCTTGTTCTCCATCAAAGTCTTGCGCGCTGTGCTTCCCTCCATTGTGGGAACGCGAGGATCCCGAGTTCCATTTTGTGCCACGTTCTCACCACATTCGCCTGGATGTTCAAACAAACCCGGGTTCTGCGCACAAAGGTAGGCTTATGGGGCGAGGCGAGGAGGAGTCAGGTGGATCAAGGAGCAATGTGGGAAAGGTGGAATCTCCCGCTGATCCTCCTGGGACCCACACCGGGAATGGAGATGCCAAGATTTGCGGGATTCAGAGTTTCTCCTGGGAAACATGCAGGTTTTGACGCACTTGCGTTGCAGCATGCGCGGCTTCGCTTTTCACACGCAGTTCCCGACTTCGGGCAAACGCTGACGGCTGATGGAAAAAGCAAATAACCTCGGCGCGTTTTGCCGCGCCTGAGAAAAGCGAGCCGCGGGGCTTCACACAGAACCGACAGGCGCGTCGAAGCGCGCATCCGTCCCGCTCTCGGAAGGTCCGACCAGAGCGGCCGATGAGCAGATATGATTATATAGGCACAGAAATAAACAGCAACATGTGATAAACAGCAACATGAATAAGAAAAAGGAAAGATAAATCCCAACATGGGAAATTGTTGGAGAGCACATTCACCATGTGAATATTTGCAGATGCCCATGTTTTCTGGATATGTTCAAATATTCGAAGATAACTTGAATGTACCACAATAGTATGGTTTTTTGTGTGTGTGAAAAAAAAGTTATGATCTCCTCATCAAAAACATAACCAGGGTTTTGCTTTGATTCTTTCATGCATGCTTGAGAAATCCTTTACTCTCCGCGGCAACCAGTGCCATCGAGGACAAAGCTCCTCATCTGAGCTGCAGTTTCCAAACTTCCACCTCACAGAGCAGACCTTCCTCTGCGCTTCCACCACCCAGCTCCTTCAGACTAGCCAGCAGCAATTAGCAGACCTTTGGTGGGATTACATGTCTCCTCTGCTCGTTAAACACGTTACTTCAGTGCACCGCTGGTGAAAACTTGTTGAAGGGTTAATAGAGGAGCCATGTTGTGATGGCTTCCTAAAGGCAGAGCTTCAGAAAGAGCAGGAGTTTCTTAAAGAGACAGAGACAGTTTCTAGGCAATAAAATATGAAGCTAAATTTCTTTCATGTCACATTTGAAATATGTAACATTTTTAGAACAACTCATTGTACTTGATTGTGATCTAAAATGGCGCCATGTGCCGATAAAATATGCGACACTGTCGCTTTAAGGCACATTTAGTATTTCAACCACCAAAACAGGAAGTTACAAGCGTTTTGTAATGGGTTTTCAAGTATTACTCTTTTTGCAGGGGTTGTAAAACCTAACGCCGACAAAATAAAAGTCTGGAAAAAGTGTCGAGAGCATTTACATTTATGTAGCTTGCTGAAAAACGACACTCCCACAGCATGATGCATGAAGCTTTTACGCTCCAATAATCTCGACAAACTTCCACAAAGACAAAAAAATAAAAAACTGCTGAAACACTAAGCTCCTTGAAATCGAAGCTAACCTGCTAGCCACCTCCTTAGTTGGCTTTGATTGATAATAACTGGAGCATTGATGAATATATTGAATGATTATGATTCTGTGTGATTTTTAATGATGGTATTTGACAAAGTGCAATGTTTACCGCTCGTTTCATAATGGGTGACTGTGTCATGTTTTTATGATGTATTTACTATGCAAACTCTCATCAGATTGCAGAGCGCATCATGGTTTACTTTTAGCCATTTATTGACTCTCATAAAAAAAAGGAAAATCATTTTAAAGACAGCAGGTATTCACGTAGTGTTGAAACACCAACGACAAAGTAAGAATTTCAAGTCAGAAATAAAAAAGAGTTGTGGTTGTTCCCTCAAAGATGATGAAAGAGCTGCACATGACTCATAAACAAAATTATGCATATTAGAAGTATTTTTTTAAAAAGAGGGGCAACTTTATATTACTATATGAAACTGTGTGCTGTCAACCTGCTTTCAGACGACTTGCAGCAGTGAGCTGCAAAACGTGACAAGGGAACGTCTGTGGGACCCCGGCCTGCAGTAAGTAAAGGGCTTATAGAGATTAGAGCTAAAGAGCATCTCATCCTGTGGAGCCTCTTCTAAACACCAGCTCCCATCAAATAGGCCTACACTGATGGAGGAAACAGCCCAGATTATACCTGTTCGGCAGTAATCCTTTTGTTCTGGAGCAGTGCCAGGGCGGAGCAGGCGACCACCGCTCCACCAGAGAGCAACAGAACAACAGTTCCATTTAAAAAAATTATTTAAAAAGTTCAAAAATAAAGAAATTTGTTAAAAAATGCTGATGCAGAGACTTTTAGAGTTTGCTGACAAGCTCCATCATTTCATAATGACAACATGAAACATTAAAACAACTTCTGTGCTTTTCTTTTATTCCCCAGAATGTTTTAAAGATGTACTTTATCTGATTGTTCTTTTCTTTGTATTTACTTTTTATTTATTTATTTTTTATTTTTATTTTTTTTTGGATAATCAGAAAATGTTGAAAGAGAGACTGCAAATACAAACTCTTTATGAAATATTTTGGTGTAATCTGAAAGGCAAATATTACAGTACACCTGAAATAAGACAAAACTCACTTTGCATCAAGACAACGGCTTGTTTTAAGTTAATAATTTATTAATATAGTTTTTGTTTCTTGCTTTTTTTTGTAAAAACTACTTGTTCCACTTATTCCACACACATAAAAAATTTTCTCACAATTGGAAAAAAAAAACTGACTAGAACTTTTTTGTTAATATTAAGAAACTATTGACTTAAAATAAACTCCTGCAGGATTAAAACTCCTGTGGAGAAATGGTGAAGAGTGGAAACAGGGAGAAGAAGAAATATTACAAAAGAGAAAAAGAACTAAGACTACATATGAGATCAGAAAGCAAGAAATAATTTAAGAAAACGGTGCTAAGTATGGCAAGACATTAACAACAATGATAGGCGGCCTCAAAATGAACAAATGCAAATGCACAAGTGACGACCCAAAGACCCAAACACATATAGAGTTTATTATCGCAGTGTGATAAAACGTAGATAAGTTTCTTTTATTCAAAATTTCTTCTGCTATTTATTTTTATTCCTTATTTTGATTCGGTCACCATCTGTGCCCGGCGTCAAACGCCACAAGGCATTCACCGGAAAGAGGAAAAACCTCCAGCTCATTCTGAGTACCTTCATAGATTGTTTTTTTGTAAACACACATGTGCTTTAAGCACCTCTCTTATCTGTTCTTACTTTCCTTTCAGTAGTTCGTAGTAGTTCAGCTCTAAGGCCGTAATTGCTGCATTTGTGGGACGTATTTCCCAGCTTTGCACATTATATTGAGTTTTGTTTTTAATGTAGCACATTTAAAAATGTTTTTTTTTTTTTTTTGGTTCCTTTATTGTCCTTTTTGCCTTATAACCCAAACTTAAATAAAGACAAATTCTCAGTTGAATTTGGATCTGAACTGTAAGTCATTCTAGCTGTGGTTTTGGTTTGGTGTTATCCTGCCGGCGCTCAGCTTTCACACCACTCTCAGGGTTTTCTTCCAGCATCGCCCTGAATTTAACTCTGTCTCCCAGTCAACTCCGACCAATCTCTTTGTCCTCGCTGTAAAAATACAAAAGTATTTCTGGTCTATTTTCTAGAGCAATTATCAATTAAGACAAAACTAACTTACAAGTAACTCTTCAGCGAGATATGGGAGTCAGTTTTAGGTTAAGAATTCCTAAATATTGTCTAAGAAAAGGTACCTGTGCGCTGGCAGATTATTTCACTATTTCCTTTGGTGTTAGTGAACATGCTATAAAACAGCACTATGTGTCTGGGAGATACATAATACTTCCCCAGTAAGACCAAATGATAGACACACTCCATTTGAAATCATTTCAGTAGGAAATTGGCTGTTCTGGGTTTTATTTAGGGGGGTCAGAGTAATGCACTCCAGACTTTTTTAAATCTTTGTAAAAAATAACAATCTTTCTTTTTCCTACTGTGGACATTTTTGGTGTTTGTCGGTCTCATGAAATCCCAGTAATACAATTTGAAGTTTACAAAAAGATTGATACACAAATCTTTGCAAGGCACGGTGCTTAGGTCACAATGATGCGGCGTCTCAGACAGCACACAGGACTGACTGTTTTTAACCGATCAAACCATCCGTTTTAAAGAAGTCCATGAATGTGTCTTTCCCCAAAATTAAGCTGTCTCGCAGTGGCTGGTTTCATTTCGTGTTTTCACAGTTTGGATTTTCAGCGCTCAAGGTGTTCTGTTGAGTTTAGATTAAAACGATGAAGGCGACACAACACGCCGGCCCGCCGCCGAGCCAAAGGCACGGAGAGATCAAAGACGTAAACAGAGTGGAGCTGAACGACTGACTGACTGACTGACAGACGCACTGACAGGCCTCTGACTCAGTGTCTGAGAATGAGAGGAAGAGGTGGCGGAATGAGCGAACGGGGGAGGAAAGAGGGAGAGAAAGAAAGGGGGCGATAGAGGAATGAAACCTGTAGTGGGGAAAAAAACAAGTAGAAAATGACTTCAACTCATCTCTGATAGCTGGTTCAGTTCCAGACCACACACAAGGATGATCAGATATGGATGTCTGCACAAACACACATACACACACACACACACACACACATAAAAATGGAATAGATGAACATACACACACCTACCTGGGTGGGCTTGGTTTGCTCAGGGCCGTAGTTGTAGTTGTAATTCGTCTCATTGTTGACTACAACGATACACACTTGACAATGGAAAGTCCAAGCAACAATGCCTCAATAAAGGAACCCCATAGGCTAGGGCTTTAGGGAGTACTTTATCCATGCACAATGTTGGGAAACACATTAACTAATCAGTAAACAGACTCATGAAAATATCGCGAACTGCTCAAAGAACTTTTATTCATTTGGGAGAAAAACATCCTGCTGAAGATTACGTTCCAAATTGTCCGTCAGCCGTTACCACTTTGATTCAAAACCTCCCTTAATGTGAGGAACTGGAAGTGCTGTCAGATTGCAAATCTGATAGCACTTCATAATTCATAATTAGCACTCTTTGTCTTGACGCTACAAAACATAAATCCGGAACAACCAGTTCCCTTCACTGGCTGCGTATTCATGAAGGATGTGCACAAATCTTTGCAGATATTCTGCACAATTTTGCAATGTCTATATTTCTGTTTAAATAAGAAACGCAATAGTAATCACTGAATACGTCTGTTCACCTGATAAGTGAATGAAGAGCATGCCGGGCCATGATCCCCCATCACTTCCTGTCGTCTCCTTGTGGCCAGCATTGAGATCCGGTCGTTGATGACTCGAAGTGAGAAGTGTTTCCATTGCGGTTTAGCGAAATACATTCGTTTTGACACAGCCTAAAAAAAAAAAAAAAAAAAAAAACTGATTCGAGTGGCAAAACTTTTTGTCAAAAAGTGAGATTTTTTTCAAAATTGGTGTGCTTCTGTTAACACACCAATTGCCCGATTATATGGTCAATGGAAACGCAACGACTTGTCAACCTGTGCTATGAGAGCTCATTGTGCTCTGTGAAGACTTTAAAGGTTTGTTAGAGAGCATCGGTGAACAAACAGCATCACAGAGATCGGCAAGGGCATGGCGAGGTGCTTTCCTCACCAGCAATAAATATAAACACATCTTTAAACAAATAAAAATACAAAATTTGAAAACCAAATTTTTCACTTCTTTGTGTTGGTCTGTTAAATAAAACCCCAATATATATGTAATATATATAGAAAAAAGAACATGGTGGTTGTACAGAGTGAACAGCAGAAACTTCCTGAAAACCTACTGAAAAAAACAGAGTACTGAAGGTAAGTGGTACACAGACAACGGTCAACAAAGGAAGAAAGGATTTTATTCCTTCAGTCTCTTGTTGTTCTGGTTTTGTGTCAGCAGAGCGCAGTGCAAGACTAAAATTGAGCAAATCACGATCCTGTGCTCTGATGCCGTAATAGATGGCTCCTGGCTTGTATTTAGGCTGGACATTAGAGCATTATTTTTGACATAGTCTCATGCTAACGCCGTGATTAATCACATAAGCTTGAAATGTAAAAACAAACATAGTAATAAACTTGTCTAAGAAAACCTTTTATTCTCTCAAATCAAATGTAACCAACAACAGGGGCATCTCTTTAATAAAGCCGAGGTCAGGAAAGCTGCATAGCTTGCATAACCAATCAAAATATTTAGATTCCAGCGCGTTTCAGCCAATCGGAATGCAGACTGGCGGTGGGTGCCGCCTGTTTGCAGCATTGTTGTGTTGTAAAAAACAAAAACAAAAAAAATGCTGATCCACACTTTCATTCCAGTAGATGGCAGCAATGCACATCTAAACGTTGCTTCCCAACCGCCATAAAAAAGAAGAGCCTACTGAGCTGCTATGTCTATAATAAGCTAATTTATTATGTTTTACCTTTAGGGAAGAACAGCAAGAATGAAGTCATTGTTGAAAGAAAGACAAAAAATATGGGAATTGAATTTTACCACAACCCATGTAGGAAACACAGTCAAACTGGAGGAACGGGTTGAGGTCAGGTGAAACTTCATCCATTTCCCCCGACACGACATGCAGGGGGTTGAAAATGGTGGTGGCAGCACATTAACAAACCTTGCTGAAAATGCAAAAGAATAAGCCAAATGGCTATTTTTCATCAGTTGTCCATAGACAAATGTTCTACTAAAGATTATACAAAACACGGTTGAAATGAACCTTAGCGTCCAAATTCTGTTAATAAATACAAACTGTCCAAAACAGGAGAGGATGTAGCAACACAGGTCAAAAGAGGGGGAAAAAAAAACAATCTGAGGTTTCACAAGGCTTCAGATCAGGACAGAGGAATGGTGCAGTGCTAACACTTTAAAATTGCCTCCCCAAAAAACAGTTAAACCTTTTAGCCCCTAGCCATACAACATACTTTGAGCTACAATTATTCCACAAATACTAAATTCCAACATATGAATTTCAATACATGTAACATTTCATTCATAAAAAAAATCAAAAATTATGGGTAATTTTCTTTCCTCTTCCTAATTTTGAGCTACTATTTCATCTGAGCCACCAATAATACACAATTAAATTTGTGCTTGTAACGTTTGAAAAATGTGAACAAGTTCCAGGGCTCTGAATTGTTATCAATTGATAACTAAAGTTATCAAAAACTCACCACACTTCTTTTTGTTCTGGTTTTTGGGACGGGGAAGGCATGAGGAAAAAAATGTTTTGTGTCAATATCTTTCTTTTGGTGAATTGAGCGAAATACACATTTCAATTTCATCCATCATTTTATCTCTTTAGAGACAAAATATACTCAGTAGATATTTTCGTTCAACATTTAATGGATAGATGTATTCAGTAAATTTTTAAAAAAGTTCATATTTCTTCAATAAAAATTCACTGAGACAGATTCATTACACAGTGATGTTAAGCATTTATTTTAGTTAATTATGATGATTTTCCATTTAAAGCGAATCAAAATACAACATATTTAGATTAGAACATTAAGTCAGATTGCTAAAAAAATAAAAAATACAGAAATGTGGAATTAAAAGGATGTTTAGCACATCGGTTGGTTCAACTCATTTCAACTCATAGGTCAAGCAGTAGTGTTTTTCCAACAGGTATTTTTACAACATGCAAAACTAAAACACAACATAAAAATATATAGAAGTTTAGTGTGAACTGATGCCTTGGCCTCGGTATTTGAGGTGCTAAGCTGAGTTCACTTTAAGTGACTGATTGTATTTTTAAAATAATAAAGCTGACCACTGATGATCCTAACCAAAACAAGTGATGCAGAGATGTTTAAAAATTGACTTCTAACGTTCAGATTTCAATTCCTGGTGAATTCCTGGATGTCGGAAGTCAACCCATTACTGACATCTGCTGTCATTTAAGAGACACTACACGCTACAATCTTTTAAATGCATCTTTTGTCATAAAAAGAACCCTACCAAATAATAAGCTAAGCTATAGTACTTTGGAAGACCAATCCTGACATAATTAAAAATGCAGACATAAATTTTTCACAATCTTAAGTATCTTTATCCTGCTCTAGTTTAAAAACTAAAACACTATAATATTATATCAATTGGAGAATATTTGAAACCAATCGTGTGATTTGTGAAACTTCAACACTGAGGGTCTAATTTCTGAACTAATCTTGATCAAGGGGTTTCAAGAGGTACCTGTGTACCTGCAACCACCTCAAGAGCCTGTGGGACTAAAATAAACAAGAGGGGCAGTAACCTACGGAAAAGAATTAGGGCTCCTGAAAAAGAAAAGAATACGACTCTCTTCTAAAAATTCGGACAATTTTCTCAAAATTCAAAACAGTTTGAGTTTTTACAAACAGCTTCTCAGTTGTAAAGGGAATCATGGGGGAGCATTGTGACGACATGCTGAAGAGACACAGGTCAATATCAAGGCGTCAGGATAGGGCTGTGAAGCAAAGTTATATTTCTTTCATTTGTGAAATATACAAAAAATGATCACAAGAGCAACGCTAAAACCAACTACTAATCAAATATTTTACAGTCAACTGCAGCTTTGCAGTTTGTTTACTCATAACTAAGCAACTTCCCTTTTAGCGTGGATTTTCATGTGTGCATTTAAGTTGGATTTTTGCGTAAACCTGTGTCCACAGAGGTAACAACAGAAAGGTTTTTGACCTGTGTGGATTCTCGTGTGTTTCTTTAAACTTGATTTCCCTGTAAATCTCTGTCCACAGAGATTACAATGGAAAGGTCTCTCTCCCGTGTGGACGACCATGTGTTGTGCTAAATGTCCTTTTTGAGAAGACCTATATCCGCAGATGCTGCAGCAGTAAGATTTCTCCCCGGTGTGGACTCTCATGTGTCGGGTTAAACATGTTTTCAGGCTAAATCTTTGTCCACAGACATCACAACAGAAGGGTTTCTGTCCAGTGTGGAGTACCACATGTTGCGCTAAGTGTCCCTTTTGAGAGAATTTACGGCCACAGAGGTCACAGCAGTAAGGTTTCTGTCCTGTGTGAACTCTGATGTGTCTGTTTAGGCTTGATTTTGTGCTAAATCCATTTCCACAGAGAACGCAGCAGTAAGGTTTAGGTTCCCTGTGGATTCTCATGTGTGCGTTTAAAGTTCGTTCATGGCTAAACATCTTTCCACAGTCTTCACAGTGAAACTTTTCTCCTGTCTGGACTTCTAAGTCCACAATTTCCTTCTCTTTCAATCCACTGCCATCCAAGGAGCTTAAATGCCCTGTTTCTGAATCTGCCATATGCCTCTGGAAAGAGTAACAACGAAAAAGTTGTTCAGTAATTTCAGAGACGCTTAAAACTCGGTCGACGAGGTCTTCCTCTGACTCGGGAGCTCTACTCTCCTTCCATTCACTGCCCATGTTTGTAGTTTTCAGTCCAGAGTCTGACAAGTGTGTCAGCTCAGAGACGGAGTACTTTACATCATCGTCATCGTCATCCTTCTCAATGTCTTCAGGCTCTAAGGAGTTGGAACCATCTCCATGATCTTCTATCTTGATGGATTCCCATTCATCGTTCTCTTCTGGAAACGCTCTGTATTTAATTTGGTCTTGATAAAACTGTGAGAGCAGAGGGGGATGTTCATCGTCTTCAGCCTTTATGGCAATAGCAGTGATTGGAAACTTGAAGGCATCGATCTTCTCCTTGCCACTGAACTGCCCTCCCCACAAACTGATGCAGATTCCCTCCTGTTCCTCTTTTATGTGGTGGGGCTTTGGGTCATACAGGTCAACACAAGGTTTGTGGTCATCAGGAGCTTCTTCTTTAACTTCTGTTAACTGTTGAACATCTGCAAGAGACATTCAAACACATTGCACATTTTATAAAACATTTACCCTGTATCACAGACTTTCACATAAAGTGACTCACTAAACATTTCTCTGTTTAAACATTTTTTGTCATCGGCAACTTTTAAATAATCCTCAGACAAAAAAATAATAAAAGACAATGAAAGCTGCATATGGGTTGTTGCTATGTTGTTGTACAGTGTTTTAAGAACTTGTTCAATGTGCCCCTTTTTAACTTTGAGCCCCTGCCCCTCCAAAGGTCTCTGCACGGCCCTGACGTGATGTCACATTCATTTTTACACAAGAGAAGAATACAGATGGGGAGCAGGCAGTGAAGTAGGTAAGGATCTGCCATTTGAAAAACAGAAATACTATCCAGACATTTTAATTAAGGAAAGGGAAAAGGTTATGACAGAGTGCCAAAGGTAATAACCGGAGATGTGGATTTAAAATCGATATCTAAGGTCAGGAGGGGCGGAATTTGCTTGATAGTGGCAAGACAAAAAAAACAAAAAAACATAAGAAATCTGATTCTCAATAACACGATCAAAAACTCTCTCACTATATTCCTAAATTAATTTTGAAAAATAAAATAAATCAGTTGTATGTCAGCCTTCTTATTTTTTTTTCTTAGCTAACTACTGTTTTTTTAACCTGTACTGTCTGACAGTACTAGAAAGTCAATGTAAGGAAGGCACCAAAACAAGGAGGAAACTACAAAAATGAAAGAGAGAAAGATTCAACCAGACCCATCTTGCATGAAGACAAACATAAAGTCTTTTTTGTTTGTTTGTTTACCAAATTACTGGGACAAGTTGAACTTGACATGAGCTTCAGAAGGAACACTTTTTAAATCCTCAACTTTGCAGAAAATGTACCCTGGCCATAAGTAAAGTGTACATGTTAGAGCAGGCCATTGCACTGACAGTGAGAACATGGTGTTTACTATATTCAATCAAAGGGAATATTAATGCTTCTTTTTGTTTGGGTTTCATTTGGATCACACTAGAACTGGTCCAGCAAAAAGGATGACAAGAAAAGTTATTGCGTGTTTGTTTGTGCGTTGGGGGTCTCCAATTCAATTAGCCTAATTGTAAAGGCTAATAAAATACCACAATCAATCGGTAATATATTTGAGCTCTTTCCTGCAGGCGACATGCGCAGTACAGTACACCCTGACGTAAAGTGACGTCAACCGATAATCCCTCAATAAAACACTTGATTTATACTGCTTAGTTTCAAGCGGTACTTCGGTAACCCTTGTCAAAAACACACAGAATTGCCTTTTATACATGTCGCTGAAGACACTGCATGCGAACCTGACAACATTTTTCTTGAAAGAATTTAGTTGGAGACTAGCGGCCTGTGTGTGGCCAGACTTTCCGAGGCCAGCAGCAGCCCATAGGCGCTAATGGACAACAGAGGAAGCAGCTAATCCAGACTAGGCATGCTAGTCACCAGCCTGTCCGAAGCCAGTTACCGGTTGTTCGGTTACTGGTACCGGGCTATCAGAAATCAGGTCCGTGGCACATATCTAGAGCCTTCCGCGAGAAGGAAGTGTCCACCGATGGGTGTACAATATTCCAGAAGCCAGTCCACCTTAAAATCGTTTCTAGGCAACAGCTGACATATATATAAATATGTATATATAATATATACAAACCTAATCTGTGTAGCAGAACCTTGGGGTTGAAACGAGCCTCCATGGCGGCTTTCGAGGTCGCGACGTTGGCGTAAGACACAGGCTCGAGCCAGCCTTTGGTTGGGTTCGTCCCGCGAGACGGCAAAACAAAAGCGTTAACGGTGTCTTCGTTTACGAATGCCTTTCAAAATAAAAGCACGCTTCCGGTTCACGGTTGACTCCTGAGTCGAAGTAAGAAGGGGCGTCTGAAAGTGGCTTTCAAAGTAAAATACTTCCTGTTCGTGTATTAGTGGTTGGTAATGAAATGAATGTATATGAATGTGAATCAATAAGTTGTTTTTAAAAGCTCATGCAATATCTTCAAGTCCATTTAGGTGATGTTTAACATTTGATTATTCAGAATCTTTCTCTCCCCAGGTCCTGCTGAGACAATACAAATTCCAGTCCAAAATACTTTATTAGTCTCAAAGGGGAATTAAATAGTCCTCCGCTTTACAGTTTTAAAAGTGATCTGATGTGGAATTATATCCCTGAGTTGCTGTTCTTATTAGAGACGTCTCTTGCTTCAGAATGACAAGGGAACTACTCTGAGGACACCCAGCAAATCTCCAAAATCTGATGTGGCGTTTTAACATGCAAAGCATTCAGAAGAAGACATTTTTGGCTATATTTTAGTGTTTTCCTCCCCCTGTATAAACTTTGTAGTTGTATTCTGCTAAATAAGGAGTATAATATGCAATGATTTAATTGAGAGCTAAGATTCTGGTTTCCAATGAACAGAGGTACTCGGATATTTCCTTTTAATACAGATTTGAAGCTTAATTTCAACCATAATTAGAACACATAAAACTATTTGACTTTTATGAAATAATAAAATGATCATAGGAGTAAAATTAATATAGATTTGGCCACGTCTTTTCCATTTAGAGGATCAGAGGTCAGGGGAAAAAAAAAAACGTCCTGTTTTGCAATTCTCCATCAGTTCTGGATGGCCTGCGTGTCATCACTATGGTTTCCTCTCTCACTGTGAAGTGAGAGAAGTCACTGGAAAAGTCTCAGTTTTTCAGCAATAAGCATGTTCACCTTATCACTCATTCATTTTTAAACTTTTTTTATTTTTTATTTTATTTTATTTTTTTATTATTATTATTATCATTAATTGTGTTCCTCTACTTATTGCCAGTTTCTGGGAGCATTGTTATGTATGCTCGATTTTCTCCTTCTCTCTTTCCTTGCAACTTCCACCAGAGGGCGCACCGGAGCCAGATGCTGCAGATCATTTTACTCCCAGAACAAATCCTGCACCGTTACGGTTGCTACCCGGGCATATTAGTTGAGCACGCATCCTCGCTGTCTGCGGTTTCCTTAGTCAACAGAAAACTGCAGGTGAGGTAAAATAAAGGGATGAATGCCACACATTTTATGCAAGGTGTGCAAGTTTAATGGTTTAGGACCCATAGCGAGCCAACTCGTTGACAACAGTTAGCAGTAGCTAACGCTGCCTAACTTTTTTATGGCCAGTTGTCTTATTGGCAGCCCAGGGAAAGAAGCTGGAGTCATTTTATTTCTCACAAGCCACAGTCTTAATTTGTCTTGGCCCCATATAAAGTTACACAGCTCTGGGCTCTTGTGCAGCGTGGACACCACCGAAAGAGCTAAGAAAATCAGTACTATGTGTGTTATCTTTTTGGTCAAGCATGCCCCAGCAATAGACTGGTGTTACTGGTGTTGTAGATCAGTGTTTCACATGAAGAACTTTACTCGATTGTTTACAAGTTAATATTGCCTTTCAAAGTCAAAGATTCTCTGTCCAATGTTGCAGTAACTCATAATTCTTTAATTATTTACAAGCAATGAGAAAAAAATCAATACATGGAAAACTGCAATGATTAAAGCAAAAACCTGTGCGTACTGAAGACATAAAAAAGTACAAAAGTTATTCTGGATAGACTTGATTGAATGTTCAGTTGTCTATTATGATGCATGTCAAGCTAATTATCCATTAGCTGTAGAATGAGGAAAATACTAATGTCTATAATATTCATTGTTGATATCTGTTGTATTCCAATCATTGATTATTTTTATTCTCTTTGATACAGAGCCCTCCAAATCAAGAACTCCTCCACTCATCTTGCCATGACTGAAGCTGTGACTAGTGGCCCAAGTGGACCTTCAGCTATACTAACTCTGTAACACAAGGAACTTTGATTGTTCCCTTTTGCCTTTCTAATATGAAGTGTGTGTTTTTGGTTTCTTACTCCACTCTAGCACACCCTAATGAGGTATGTCTACCACCCTAAAAATGATCTCTGGTCCATTCTGGCTCCACCACTTTCTGGATCCTGTTAGACCACATCAGAACTGGTCCAAGACACCACACACCTGGCTTTTCTCAACTCGCGTACCTTTTTAAGCTGTCCATCTAATTCTCCAAGACAACTCCAAGTTTGAAAACGATTGCAAAAATGCTGACGTGAATCCTTGGCTGAAAAAGCTTGTTAGAACACAGCTTGCTCAAACAAATATCTCCTCTAGTACCGATCAACACATCACATCAACGGGTGTAACCATAAGAAATGGTTAACTAAGGAAAAGCAGTCCAGTGTAAATACTTTCTAATATGCATAATGTATTTTAATGTTTTGTGCAGGTGATAAGCAGATGGTGCTGGTTAAAGAAGAAGCTCCTGAAGACCCCAGACCTTGTGCTGACCTACATGACCCAAAGTGGAACAGGAGGGAGTCTTCATTAGTCTGAGTGGAGAGCAGCTCTGTGAGAATGAGGAGATTCACGCCTTCAAGTTTTCAGTCACAGCTACTGCCATAAAGAGTGAAGATGATAAACATTCCTCTTTGCACTCACAGCTTTATCAAGACCCAATTAAAGACGGAGAGCTTCCAGAAGAGAAGAGTAGCAGAGAACCAATCATGACAGGAAGTCGTGGAGATGTTTCCAACTCTTCAGAACCTGAATGGAAGGAGAGCAGAGCTCCTAAGTCAATTAAAAACTTTAAAAAGCCTTTTAGGTCCTCTGACGTTGATGAAGAATTTGTTCAATGTTCATTGTCTCTCCAGAAACACACAGATTTCTTATCCTCCAACCTCGCTGGAGGATAAGAAATGTTTGACTGAGAAGAAAAATGTCTGGAAGGAAAGTCCAGACCGAAGGGAAGCTTAACTGTGAAGACTGTGATAAAACATTGACCGGAAAGCAAGCTTTACCCAGACATAAGAAGATCCACACAGGACAGAAAGATCTATGTTGTGACCTTTACAGAGTCAGATTCAGCTGCAAATTGTATTGAAACGCACATGTGAGAATCCACACAGGACAGAAAAATTTCTGTTGTGGACACAGATACAACCAGAAGTGACATTTAAACACACCGGAGCGAAACCCGTCTGCTGTGATATCTGTGGTAATGGATTTGTCGAAAAATACATGAGAATTCACACAGGAGAGAAACCTTTCTGTTGTGAAATTTACAGATGTGGGTTGTTGAAATAATATTTTAAATTAGCACAATACTGCACAGGATAGTTTTGATACATATGAAATATACCATAGAAAGTTAAAGTACACTCTACATTCACATAAATTTAGATAAAAATCCAAACTAAAACAACTGCTGAATCTCTGAACTTATATAAATTCTTAGGGAGGATTCTACAGAAAAGACAGGCCTAGAATCTCTTTACACAGAGAGTCTGTCTGCCAGGCAATTAACAAATTCCTGAGCATGGTTCAAAAGTTCACTAGGATCTTAAAACTTTTTATAAATAATTTTATCTATATTAGAATTAACTATATTTCTTTAAGAATGTTTTTAATTAGTTACTTATTAGATCCAAACTTATAGTCATTATTTAGCATTACATTGTGTGCAAGCTTGGTTAAAAATACAAACTACTTTCTTGTGGAAACATTTTGAGGCACAGATAGCGCTGCAGCTGCAATCATATATCAAACTGGACAGCGGCTGATACGAGAAGGGTTTGCCGTATATCTGCTTTTGGGGCTCTTTAGCAGGAGGTAATAAAATTAACATTGAGACAGCCCACACAAAGGAAAAGAACACACCTCCTAATGCATATATTTAAATGAGGAGAATATGCAGTCTATAAAAAATGGTTTGTTTCACAGCAGAAGTTGGAATCTCTTTGTGCTGAGTGAGAGTTTCCCGGAGGATGCATCTTCTGTCTTTTTTACTCAGTTCTTTGTCTCTGTTCTGTAATGTCTTGGACTTTTGATATTCTAGGTGAGGTGCTTATTGTAACATTCTTCTTGCATTGATTTTCTCTGGATAAAACTCTGAATATCTGAAGTCTGACGTCGTATGATTGCTCTTTCTCTCTGCACACTTACACAGACACAGGAATTCGGGACAAAGAATTAATTAAAGAGCGAAATCAAGTATTTCATCTTTATAATTCTTAACAGGGTTTAGCGGAAAATCACACTTAAACACACACAAAATCTAGTTTAACCAAACACATGAAATTTCACACAGGACAGAAGCTTTTCTGTTGTGATATCTGTGGACAACGATTCACCGTAAAATCAAGTTTAAACACACGTGGCAATCTGCACAGGACAGAAACTGTTCCGTTGTTATGTCTGTGGACAAAGTTTTAGCCTTAAGTCAAGTTTAAACAGGCACATAAACATCCACACAGGACAGAAACCTGTCTCTTGTGATGTTTGTGGCAAATTATTTAACTGAAAGTCACATTTAAACACACACATGAAACCTTTCTGTTGTGAACATTGTGGACACAGATTTAATGTAAAATCTAATTTAAATGCACACATGAGAATCCAAACAGATTCTACAAATATTTAAACTGCATACCTGAAGTTTGCTGTACTATATGTATCCGTTGCTATGAAAGGTCGTCACTTGTTGCCTTCTGCATTTCTCTCATTAAAAATGTTATTTTAACTTTTAGACATTTTGTGATTTTTTTTGGTATTTTTTTTTGCAGTTGCATAACTGCAAAAAAGTCATGTTTTATTCGCTGTCTCGTCTATGGATCAGGTTGAGTTGACCGTGAAATCCACTGTTTTCAAGAATATCCTGGGGTCGAAATAACTTCAGCTGAATCTTTGATCAAAGTGCATCAGTGACAAACTAAGAAGTAAATCTAAATGGGATCAGCTAATAGAAAAAAAAAAATCAAGGTGCTACAACAGCCTAATTACAATCCAGATTGACATCATAGAATCCCTGTTAAGAAATAGATGTCTTCAAATTTCATGGAAGACAATCTGCTTTCAGTCCTCTCAATCAGATTTATTTTATTCACAGCCATTTTGATAATATCAGAATCTATTTAGTCAAATAAGTGTTCAGAGGAATCCAAGCTTTACAAATGAATCGAATGGAATGAAAAAATATAGTGTACTTTTCACACTGTCATCTCTTTTTTCCCTCTTTTAGTAAATGGTTCCATCACAATATGTATTTCACAAATATGAGAACATTAGTTATAGAGAGACTCCAACACTTTTTTTTTAGATCAAAATATCCTTTTCTACAATATAAACTATGAAGCAAATCAGTGTTAATAGATAGCCGATCCTTATGGTTAAAGAATTAAAAATAGTAACTGTTCTGGATGATTATTACTCACATTTGACAAACGCCGAGTAGTTTTAAAATGTCCAACAGCTGTGGAAGCTGACAGCTGGCGCCCCCTGTCTTGTGGGGGTGGAAACCCCAGCCTCAAAACAAACAGACCAATTGATGCTGACTGCATTTTAGAGCTTCCATAATATTATAAAGTGTTATTATAACAGTATTATTGCCAATGTTGTTTCAGGCTTCAAAATTAGAGTTAGAGAAATCCACACAGGAGTTTGTGTGGATATTTAAGGAGCATGAAACCCAAAAAGAAAAAAAAGAAAAAAAAAACTTGCTTAATCTTGCTGCTTGTTTTTATTCCGTTGTATTTGCTGGAAGAAATTTAGATCAAAATCTTTTTATTTTGTGCCCAGTTTAATAAATTGGATCTGAAACATTATGCAACTTCTAAGATATTGTATTCACAGTTCTTCAGGTCCCACTGATGGGATTTTTGCAATGTTTTGAATGTTGCACAACTTAAATGTTTTTGCTCACTGAGGAAAAAAACCCCAGAACATTTCTTCAGTGTTCCATGTTTTTCTGCTGTTTCAAAAAAAAAAAAAAGAAGGAATTTGGCACACCCCTCCACTTCTCTCTTGCACAACATCCTCCAAATTTATGTTTCCTTTCTTTCGGGAGGAAGGCTTTAAAAGAGCTGTTTCTGGTTTTGGGGGTTAGTCACAACAGCACCATGGCTTCAAAGAAACAACTTGCTGTTGGGGTCGCTCTTTTTCTAATTGCCCTCATTTCCAATGGTGAGTTTTAAGACTTTTTACAGGTTTACATTTGAGCTGTTGTCTTATTTTGAATGATTTTAAAAGCTATGACATATCCCATCAGGTGAGGGTATAATTGGGGGCAGAGAGGCAGCGCCGCACTCTCGACCCTACATGGCCTCCATCCAGGTACCAGAGGGCGACACGCTGAAGCATGAATGTGGGGGATTTGTGGTTGCAGATCAGTGGGTGATGACCGCAGTCCACTGCATGCCGAACGGGTGAGGGAACTTTCTTCTAACCACCAGACAGGCAGGGAAGACCGACATTTCTTTTTAAACGTTCATTGTTATTCGTGTTTTTGTTTTCTTCTTGTTTTGTGGAGGATTTTGCTTTGCAACCTCTACGATTTTTAGCAATTATAATTTGTTTGAATATTTGTCCTTGTACAGTGCAAATGGAAGGAAGGTGGTGCTGGGCCTCCACTCTCTGAGTGAAGCTGAAGATACAAAGCAAACTTTTGACATCATGGAGCTACACAACCATCCCAACTTCAACATAGAAAATTATGACAATGACATTGCTCTAATCAAGGTCAGCCTAAACTTTAGTGTCAGTTTTGCTTGACATAGATTAGATTTTTTTTTTCCATCAGCTCAAATACAGAAATGTTTATTTTTTTTATATTATTAGAAGTATTAAAACTAAGAACTTCCATTTATGTATTTATTTATTGGTCAATAATAACATCAACCAACAGCATTTTTCAGTGTGATGATGTGTTGTTGTTTTTTTGCCATTGTCTAAGGCAAAAAAAAGAAGTAAGAGTAAATTTATGAGTTTTTTGGCTTATTAAGCTCACACATCTTCTTGAAAAAACTCTCAGCTTCAAAAGTTAAACATTTTAGATTTCCTGAAGTGGCCAATTTTCAACTTTGGAAATCAAGTTTTTTTTTCTTGAAAATTTCTGAAATTAATCTCAAAATGTTTTTTTTTTTTTTCTGGCAAATGTTCAACTTTTGAAACTCAAAACATTTCCTAGTTTTTTTCTAGAAAATCTCTTGAGTTTAAACTCAACATTTCTGAGCTTTTTGGCAAAAGGTTTCTCCTGTGTGTCATTTCTGTCTAGAATGGCCTTAATATTCCATTATAAATTTATGCCATGACATATACATACAGTGATTCCAAATCCTCCTATTCCAGTTGTACTCGGAACAGCAAGTGATCATGTAAATCTGTGCTGTAATATTACAACATATCTATTTATAATAACTTTAAACAACCATTACAAATGCTTTTTAAAACATTTTTTTCTAGCTTTCTACTTATTCTTAGACTGAACTCTATTGTTCCTTCTTGGAACGATATTGCGTATTAGATTTACTTTGGCTGATCATTACAATGTCCAGAACATGCTGAAGTACAAAATTTTTTGCGCAACACTTGCCCAAAATGTAAATAAATTTTACATTTAAAAAACAACAACAACAACACACATACACACACTTTGAAAACATAATTTCATCTCACCACGTCAAATAAAATCATATACATGTTTTGTGATGTTTTCACAGTTGGACCGACCATTCAACGCCTCTACTGCCATCAGGGCCGTTGAACTGCTGCGAGCGGGAGGCACAAACCCCGACACGGGCGCGGCGGTGGAGACGGCTGGCTGGGGGTCGCTGGACAACCTGGGGTCAAGGCCGGACAAACTCAAAGAGGTGGTCATCGAAGTGATCAACCGGGGTAAATGCAGACGCACCGACTACTTCGGCAGAAAGTTCACCGACAACATGATATGTGCCCACAAAGTCTGCCAAGAGTGTGTTCGCTCTCACAGAATTGAAGACAGCTGTGATGTAAGTTGTTGCTTTTACCCTCCGTCTCCTCCCCCCCAAATCAAAACAAAAACATTTAAGATTTTTTCAGTTACATAATCTTAACAACTCCATGATCTCCCAAAATTAAAAAAAGAAATCCATTTAGCGACTCTTACCTGCTCATTTCCATTTCTTTAGGGCGACTCTGGTGGTCCTCTGCTTTACAACGGCATCGCCGTCGGCATCACCTCCAATGGAGGGAAAAAGTGCGGCCAAATTAAGAAGCCCGGGGTTTACACCATCATCTCCCACTACACCGAGTGGATAGATAACACCATGGGCACCCGGTCGGCTGCAGCTCCACAAGAAGCAAGTTAAAGGGAAACGCCACGCAAAGAAACGGTGTTGGGCCACGAGGTTATGAATTCTGACTCCAGCACTGTGAACACGCTGCAAACATGTATAATCGGATTAATTTCACTCGTGTATCTCACTTAAAAAAAAAAAAAAATCTAAAAAAAAAACAAAGAATAAAGTTTTGTCATGTTTGTTGCAAACATATGCATGTCCATTCAATGTACAGGTGAAAACAGGTGAAGTTTTGAATGACATTCAAATTGCTCTGCTGGAAACATAATGCTTTGATAGAATTTTTTTTTTTTTTTTTTTTTAGGATGAGTCACTTGTTTGGTTTAAAAAGGTAGAACAGAGGAAAATAAAACCTGTCAGAGACAGAAAGAGACTTCACACTGGCATGTCCTAGTCAAAGTTGATAGGCACCAAAAACAAAAACCCTTTACAGTGCAAATTATTAAAAACCTTAAAGAACATGAATTTTTCAATTTTTTCATTTTTTGCCAAGCACTGTGTGCTAAACCTTGTGAAGAGAAGGAACATGTACAATGATCAACATGAAAGATTCCCAAAGCCACAGCAAAATAGTGACATGAGTTTGAGGTTGTGGAGGGAAACACCAATACAGGACAAGTGATTTACATTCAGAATGACACGTTTTCATTGCTTGGTGTACAGTGGATGAAGAACAAAAATATTAAAAAAAAACAATAAAAAGTTATATAAGGTAAAAAAATTTTCTGCAAATGATTATGAGGAATGCCCAAGAGGCATAAGAATCATATTTCTTAGGCAACACAGACATGAACAACACAATCTCAAAGAGAAAGCAGAAAAAAACCCTTCCAAGCAAAGAAGACGTAAAAGAGGAGCAGATGTACTTTATCATTCCCTCCCTTCTTGGCTCAGTTGACATGCACACCAATAATTTGAGTTCTGTTACTTAGACAAACAAAACAAACCGCCACCATCACATGTTTCCACATTTCTTCTGTCAGTATGGGCAGCTTACATTAAAAAAAACAACACTATTTAAAGTTGATTTTGGTGTCATTTCCTTATTTAGAGATACATTTCTGTTGCTTATCCAACTTTTGAAAACCTGTTTTAAAGCGGTAGCAGCTAGAAAGTTAAAGTTACATTATGATGTAAAGCACTTTGTTGCTGAAATGTGCTGTGCAAATAAACCCGATGAATTGGCAAGTGTTCTCCAGCCACACAATTTTATAGCACAATCGAGTAACTGCTACCTTCAGTTGTTATAAAAATGATGTATTTGTCAAATGTCATGAAATTTGACTTTGTAGTTTAAAGCCTTGAAGCTAGGCCTCTGTATCTTTAAAAACTCCTGCCCTTTCTGAAACGCGGTGCTTCTTCCAAACAGGCGTTTTTGCACAGCAGATTGGTTGCCATGGATATTAAAGAATTTCTCATGACATGCGCGAAAGAATCAAAGCAACACTCTAGGTATGTTTTTGATGAGGAAATAACATCGTAAAGTCAAAAAACGTTTCACCTAATTTTATTCCTTTAAAGAATTCATGCAATTTAATTGACCTCACACTATCTTCTGTTTGCATCTACCAATGCTATTGGGTTTCTAATAAGGTCAGAAGCTTTATATATGCACAGCTTTGAACTAATATATGTGTCTATTGGTAGATGGGCCATTTTTTGGAACTTTATTCCATATTTCTAATGCATAGTTTTTTTCACTTCAGTACACGGAGGGAATTAACTGTCTCTTAATAAATACGATCCTTCTTTTCTCTCTGCACTCACATTATTTCTTTGCTGGAGTTCTTGTAAGGAAAACCTCTTCACCGTGTACGCTCGGTGCCCGTGTGACGCCACCAGCTTGTCGATCCCCGAGAGCAGCTCCCTTACCTGGGAGTAACTCAAAGCACTCTGAGACTTTGTGACGTTCAGCTCATAAAATCGGCTCCCACACTTCCGAACGAGATCCTGCAGGGCCGGGTGGGCTCTGGCCACGTGGTCGTTGATCCTAAAAGGCCTGGGCTGGTTGCTGTCGAAATGAACGAACAAGACGATGGCGTGCTCTGCCACCTCCCGTCCAAAGATCCTCTGGACGTGTCCGAGCATTTCGCTCTCCCCCTGGGTGAAGCGGCCCACCTGGAGCACCAGCAGGAAGACATGGGGTCCAGGTAAGGCCAAGGCCAGGCAGTCTTTCACCATCTCCGTGTTCTCAACCCCGTCTTCATCCCAGAGTTCAGGGGTGTCCACTAGAGCAAGCCGCTTCCCGCCTGTGAAGATCTCCTTTTTCTCGCAGGATAAGGTTGGCTGGGTCTGGTCGTAACAGGAGCTAATGAGCGAGTATAGATTGGCTCCTCTGTTTAGGATCAGATGGAGAGCAGAGGACTTCCCACTGCCAGTGAGGCCCAACAGAATGACAGACATCTTCTTTGTCTTATCTCCTGAAAGACAAAACAGAAAAATATTATGGTCAAAAGAAATGCTGAGAATCTGGTGAGAGAATAGAGATAAAAGGGAAGGAGATCCCATTAAAACAACAATCACAGTGAAAAGTAAGAGAAAATTATTAAGCAACACTCAAACATGAAAAGACATCCACTTAGTCTTTCAATGTCAAAAGAGGGCTTGTGTCTATCTCTTGCGATCATCATTTGTCACAGGGTACACCTGTGACAAACCAACTGTCTATTGCAGGGCAACACATAAAACAAATAAACATGCAGACACTCTTACCTAAGGACAATTTAGGGTGCATTCACACCAGACCTGATTAGTTCACTTTAATCCAACTCTTGTTCATTTGCCTTGAAGGTCGGGTTCGTTTGGGGAGATGTGAACGTGCAGTCAAAGTCTGGTCCGTCGACAAACCTATCGGTTCTGGCTTGGTTTAAGTGAAGTGTAGCACAGTTCCAATGCAAATATGAACGCAAGTGGACCGAAGACCGCTCCAGAAGCAGTGGAGGTTGGTGGCATGGAGTGGTGTCTAGCGGCGCCACTGAGGTGTATTGTACGTCCTCTTGTCCTCTGACCTCTCAAGTTGGTTTGACGTCCGACTTACGTGGCGCCACTGCGGTTGATAATATGTTCTCTTGTCCTCTGACCTCTCTGGCTTTTTGGAGGCCCGACTTACGTGGCACCACTGCGGTTGATTGTAGGTCCGTTGCTGGGGGACCTGTGGTTGCTGGGGGACATCTGATTGAAGGGGGACCTCTGGTTGCTGGGGGACATCTGGTCGCAGGGGGACATCTGGTCGTAGGGGGACATCTGGTCGTAGGGGGACATCTTGCTGCAGGGGGACCTTTGGTTGCAGGGGGACATCTGGTCGCAGGGGGACATCTTGTTGCTGGGGGACATCTGGTCGTAGGGGGACATCTTGCTGCAGGGGGACATCTGGTCGCAGGGGGACATCTTGTGGCTGGGGGACCTTTGTTTGGGGACCTTTGCAGGCTCCAACCAGAGCCTGCAAAGATGTGATTGTTTCCTCTAATTTACGAACATGCTCTGATTGATTCTTCAGTTTTTCTTCATACTTTAATTTGATCCTATATTCGTCCATCATAACTTCTATGAGTCCTTTGTTTCTTGAGGCATACATCTCTGCCTCCCTCTTAAACTTGTCCAGCTCTTGAAGAAGTCTGTTGTCCGTTGTTACTTTGGAAGTAACAACGGACAACAACGATCCTCCTGTTTTTTCTGAACTGCTGATGTTGCTTTCTTGGGCTGGTGTTTTCTTCATGTGACGTTCTCTTTCCAACAAGTTCTTCAGGTTTTTGATTTCCTCCTGCTGGACTTTGAGTTCTTTCTCCCTGGCAATTCGTTGCTGTCTTTCCTCATCCAGCTCTTTCTTCAAATCATCTATCTGCTTTGTCAGATCCCAGATGTCATCAGTTGTTTCTTGCTCGTTGTCGTCGAATGCTCTTGGACTCTCGGTTGGTTCGTCTACAGGCGCAATGGGGCATTCCTCTTCATCATCAAAATGAAGGATTGCATCATAGTCTACCTGGATGTTTTCTTCTATCATCTCTATCCATGAAAGTTGTTGGTCCATGTTTGTTATCTGTTAATTCTTCTTTCTTTGAAATGTGATCTGTTGTGATAGAGCTGTGGAACAGGTCTGAGAAAAACACTGTCTGAGAGCTACAATCAAGAGAGAGATTCCTTTGTTGTATCACAGTGATGTCATAACCGCTGATGTCATAGAGACCACTGGAACCGAACATGTTAATTCAACCTGCTGTTTGAAAAATGCCACACAGTAGCACTAATGACATAGTGGAGGAGAATGATCCGGACTGTGCAGCTAAAAACAATGAATGAGACGTGGAGGAGGTGACCAATCCTCGGCATTAAGTTGGCAACATGTTGAAGATTGAAGGCTCACAGGTGAGCCAGAAGCCAGAACTGCTGACAGCACAGTAAACAGATATCATTCAAATGGTGAAGGAGCAGATATTGGAATGGAAATCATCTGAAAATGCTAACTGCAGTGCTAACTGCTAAGAGAATTTAAAAAATGTACATTTACACATCTTTATGTAATATAGTTGAAATGGTTCAGGTTAAATTCTGCTAAAATGGGTTTCATGCAATGAGTGGTTTTTGGCGCCCCCTACTGGTTGCCTTTAAAAGGAGGAGAAACTGTAGATTCCACACAGTCTGTTCAGCGCTCTACTGTGGTCAGTCATCAAGTCCAGTTCTTTTCTGAACAGTAGTGGTGGTTGTGTTCTAAGACTAACGTGGAGTTTTATTGCAGTACCCAGAACTAGTGACCAGTAGGGAGGCTCACTGTGCTGTTTATTGTTGGCCATTCATTACAGAAATTCAACCAACTGGCCTCCACAGTGTGCTGTATGTGGGGGAAGGAGTCACATTTACATATTTTCATGGGAATGCTTCTACAGGGCATTGTGGGTAAATGCAACCAAAACAAAGACAATCTAAATGCTTATAACATAATATTTGCAAAACTTGCTTTGACATTTTAGAGATTGGAGTTAGCTTCTTTTTTTTTTTTTTTTTTTTTAGATGGTTTTATTTAACTGTTGAACTATTAGCTTCAACCTCCAGGTCCAACAAATCTGGATTTATTCTAAGCAAAGACACCAAGAGTTAGCTGCTGTAGGCTACATATTAGCTATCTGCAATATATTAACTAAGCCTAACTTCAAAGGTGTCACTATAGACTTTCCTAGATTTTTCACTTATTTGAACAAACTGTAACAGGTATGAAATCTACATTTGTATTTCCATAGACAATACATTCTATGACACTGTCGTCAGGAATGGCACTGCTCCAAAAACTCGACCCGCCTCAGGCTCTTTGGAACAAGGAAGTACTTTGACTAGGAATCACATTGAGTTTTCTGTTTATTTTACAACTTCTTGATAATAACTGACATTAACACACTGTGTCATTTAAGAGTAGATAATATTTTTCAATATAGCTAAGAACCTCTGTAAGTAGCCCCTTTTGAATCCCAGTGACAGTATTTTTCCCTTTTTTTAAATTTTGTTTTATATAGAGTCTTTAGCTTTCTATCTGTGGCCTCTCACAGAACCCTGAAAAGAAATTCAGTGTTAACACCCTCTAGTTGCTGAGTTGCGCAATGCAAGATTTGTCAATCTTTTTTCTAAATTACCCCTCAGTGAACTTGCTCCATAACAACACCGTACTGACAACATAAACATCAATTCAGGATCCAATCTCTGGAAAACTCTTGTGAAAGTTCTTGGAATAAAAAAAATAAGCTGAAAGGGAATGCTGAAGCCTTTAGGGAGGGCTCCCTGAGGAGAGGTCATAAGGCAGGAGGGAAAGAGAAGCTAAAGTCATTTGAAAACAAGGCTGGAGATGCTGCTTCCTGTCCCACCTGAGACTTCTCGAACCCTGAGCGGCTGCTTCTGCTTTTGCAACTTGAGGATCCCAAATTCAACAGGGAGTTTCCCAAGACAGAAAGTTTCTCACTACATCGTTTCACCTTCCTAGTTTTCTTTTCTATTGACTCATAGCCAATAAAAAATAAATAAATATAATACATACTTTTCTCTGATTTTGGTCTTTGGCGTATTTGCCTATCTTACATAGAACTATCTTACATAGAGTGACCATACCTGGTCACCTTATGTAACACGCTGGAACAAGGTGGGGTTTTTTTTGGGGGGGTCATATTGAAATTGGTTTATTTCCCAAAATGGCAGTGTAAATACTTTTTTTCCGCATCCCACGAGTGACATCATCAACAACCAGATTTTTCCACTGGCGCAAACCACGAAAAAGAAAACGACAAGAAGCAGTTGGAGGATGATGACGCAACGTTTTCTTCAATGACCTGACAGCGAGAACAAACATATTCATGTGTGATTTTAACTGTGTTTCTTAATCAATGGAAACACCACTGCAAAATTTTGTTTTTTCAATTTTAGCAGGACATTGACAAGTTTTTTGCACATCTGTACTGGAATTGCAGCTAGTGATAGTGATGGGGTATTTAGCTGAAGCAGAGGAGCAGTGAAGGCCGTGAGGTCGCTTTTTCACAGCATCATAAACATGATATTGGTAAATACCGCCAGAACAGCAGTATTAACATCGGATATTGATATCGGCTCAAATTTCCAAATTACTGCAGCCCTCATAATTTCTCTTCTGTAACTTAGAAAATTAACCTACAAAAATAATAGCTCACTTTCGAAGTGAACCTGGATGAAATATACACAGAAATCTGTAATTATATTCTATATCATAACAAAAATGAAAAGTGGCAGCAAAAGTTAATTTCACAACTTTCCAGTTATTTTGGAAATTAAATAATGTGAGCTTATTTTGGCTATGTCTCATCATATTTCTAATTTTTTTGCTTTTGTTTTTAGAAATGTGTAGGGATCTGAGGTATGACTCTTACCATCAGGCGCTCTTGCCTGCAGCTGCAGCATGGAGCTGTGGCTCATCATCGCCTCCTGAATATTCTCTCTGTCCGTTTCATGTTGTTTTTTTTCCTCTGCCTCCTTCCTTCTTTCCTCTGCATGTCTTCTGTTCAGGTCCTCCACTTCCTTGGCTCTTCTCTCCTCCTCCCTTCTCACCTTCTCCATAAAAACCTGCTCTTTCTCCTCCGCCTCTCGCTCCTTCTGCTTCAGCATGTTCATGGCCGAGTCCTCCACACACCGTCTCTTCGACTTCTCCAGCATGGCTTGCGTGTAACCGGCTTCGCTGTTTTCGCTGCGCACGTTGTTCACCATCTCGACCAATGCATGCAGGCCGCCGTTTGCGGTGGACGACGTGATGCGACAATATCTGCCGTCGCACACGTTGATCAAATCCAGCAGGGCGTCGTCCAGCGTATCGGTGACTTTCCCGTCTTCCACGGAGAGAATGACCAGAAATCTCAAAGCCTCTGCTCCGAAGTGCGACTGCAGGATCTCGACCATCCTTCTCTCCTTTTTCGTGTAATAGCCGCCTTGAATCAACAGCAGGAATGCGCCGACTCCACCTTGGCAAGACTTGAAGCAGCCATCAATGATCTGACCAATGGCCTCATCTGGCATGTCTTCTTTGAAAGCCTTGTAGTGCAAGCTGATCGAAAGCGAATCCATCGCCAAGTCACAGACTTGTTTGGATCCCTGAGAGCTAAAGGTAGACTGGAAACATTTATCTCCGGAGCTGTTCTGGAGCAAAGATTTCAAAGACTCCCATTCCTCCACCACGGCAATGACTGCCATCGCATGCTTTATGTTGGTTAACCTGTCTGTCAAGCAAAGCATAGCCACTTGTCAATTAGTGGAAGTGCCTACACCGAGTAGCCACATTTGAAGAAGGCTTGCCAAATTACGTGTTTTGTCTCTAAATGAAATTAGAAATCAGAGAATATCAACTCACCTTGAGACATGTCTTTTGCAGATCAGTTTACCTGATGTGAGTGCTGAAACTGGATATCCTGGCTCTGTTGCGAGCAGTCTTCCTGATTCCACCTGCTCGTAAGGAAGTGCATACCAAGGACGCAAGTTCCGCAGAGTGTGACTCTTCCTCATGCCTGCGAACACAAACGAGCTTCCGTTTTAGCCCACGGCAAATCTTTCTACATGTTACATTGCCTTGAAAAGGTATTCATACTCCTTGAATATTTTGACTTGTAAAGAGACACATAAAGATGGTTATAAAGTCAGTCTTCTGTCACCTGAAGAACATTTCCAGGATTGGAGGAGTTACATCCTTGCAGGATCTAGAGAAACTCATCCATGCGTTTATCTTTAGGCGTAATGACACCGGTCTGCCTAAAAACATCAATCTGCAGTTGATTCAGAAAGCTGCTGCTCATGTTCTCACTGAAACCAGCTCGATGGGGCACATCATCCCCGCTCCAAAGTCTTACACTGGCTCCCTGTAGCTCAGAGAATAGACTTTAAAATACTGTTGTTAGTTTATGAATCACTGAACGGCTTGGCACCAAAAAACGACAAAGATGTGCTGTTGTTGTATCAACCTTCCAGATCTCTCAGGTCTCCTGGTTCTGGTTCTGCTCTGCATCCCCAGAACCAGAACCAAAAGTGGAGACGCAGCATTCAGTTTCCATGTGCCACAAATATGGAACAAACTTCCAGAAAACTGCAAAACAGCCAACATCGAGTTACTGAGTCATCTCTGATTCGTAAAAACTAATATTTAATGTGCATTTATTTGAATATTTTGATGATGTGCGTTTGACAAAACGTAGTGTTCACTTGTTTCATAATTGATGGCTCCACAATGACGTATTTATAACGTAAAGCACTTTGAACTGCCTCGTTTCTAAAATGTGCCATCCAAATCAACTTAACTTGATAACATTCGAGGGATTTTGTTGGGATTTTCTGCAGGAGACGTGTGAAAGAAGAGAATCAAGCAAAAGCAGTCAATTTTTCCTCCCAAATTCCAACAAAGCCTTTACAAAACATCGGCTAAATCTGACAGCAGACACAATCTGCCATGTCTGCATAACGCGAGAACTTTGGTTTCTTCGCCAACGAATGATATCAGCAATTGTTGCACATTACTGTGGGATTGCACCATAATTCACAGCTGATGCCTGCAGCTGGCAAAAGGGCCCCTTAAAGGGACATACCACGAAATAAAAATCGGGGACGTTCATTTTGAGGTTAATCCAACGATGCTTTTTCTTTTTTTTTTAGAATTAAAATTTAGGATTAGTTTGGAACCGTTTGTAAAGCAATTGCCAAAGTGTGAATGTTAATAACAATAATTAGGTTTTTGAACACAAAACGCCAAGAAGTAACAGACCCGTCCCCCCCCACCCCGTGTATGGAATGGTTCGCTCCGTTGCTATGCCATCTTGTGTGGACTTTCTCCAGGAGGATGGAGAGAAATATGTATTAAGTCGGCCCGAAAACCTTCAAACCCCCACAGCGTTCGCTTGTTTGTTTTTTTGTGCTCTGTGACAAGGCACAGCTATGGCCGGTATACGCAGAGTAAACGGGAAATTGTCAGGCGTCAACCCCGCTGTCAGGTACGTTTGTATCGAAGTTGTGTTGACGGGAGTGGGGGGTGCAGGGGGGCTTCGCTACAGCTGTCAAGCTAGTCAGGCTAACGTTAGCTCCAACCGCGGTCCGTTGGAACTCTATTAGCATTGATGCTAATTGCTGTAGACGGCTTAATAAAACGCTTGGCTAGCGTTCTGTACACCCAACGATGCTTTAAACTTACAAGTGAAGCATTCAGCCGTGAGGTCTGAATGTTCACGGCTGAATGCTCACATAACAGTAACATAAGAATGTTTATTTATTTATATAGTGATTACAAAAGTATTTTTAGTAAAAAGTTGAATTGTAAATGATGAGTATTAATCCAAAACGACACTGAGAACAGCGTCTTGTAAGGCAAAAATAGTCATAACCTTTAAACTTTTTAAAAACATTTATTTTATTAGGATTTTATGTGATGGACCAGTGCAATATATACACTATTTCTGAATTGGAAGGGGAATAATGTATATGGTTTGGATTTTATTTACAAATACAAATCTGGAAAGTGCGGCGTGCATTTGTATCCAGCTTCCCTGTGTCAATGCTTTGTAGCATCTTCAGTTCAGTTCAAAATAACTTTATTAATTTGTAGTACATGATGATGGATGCAGGTAGAAAGGACCTGTTGCCATCTGTATCACAGTGTGCCTGCAGAAGCTTCTGACTGAAGACCAGCTGTTCATCTAAAAGCCTCACAAAGTTTGTGGTTGTTGGCAATTTCTGCCTAATTAATAGCTATTGTGTTCTTCTGTTTGTCAGTTGTTCTCGCCTGCGTCAGTTTCAAGCCCTGCTCTGCGAAGGAGAGTCCGTCACCCCTGATGGCATTTTGTGCTCTCTCGGTATGTAAACAAAAATACTTTGTTTACATTCTGGTCCAAGTTTATATTAGCTCTATGTCTGATTTTGCAAAAAAGAAAAAAAAAATGCTAACATATTGTAACATGTTTTTGACAAAAACAGGAATAGACAGCAGGTATAACGAGGGATGCACAGAGCTGGCAAAATACCTTTTCTATGGGTTGTATGAACGGAATCAGCCAAACTTGGAGCATGCCTTTGATGACTTTCCTGAGGAAGTGCTGGATGGTGAGTCCCCTCACCCCCACCAGTCGTGTTGTTTCGCCTGTTCTCGATTTGAATCTGCCTTTGACTCATTCGTTGTCTTGACTTGTCAGACGTGATCCTACTGATAAAGGCAGAGTGTGTCCATCTCTACTGCAACCCGTTGAACTACAGTTACCTGTTGCCTTATGTGTCACACTGGAGGAATCTGCAACTCTACTGCATGACAGAGGCTGAGGTAAGAACTCTTTTGCTCCTCAAGAGACCTGGCATTTGAGAAGGTTTTCTACTTCCTGCATCCTTAACATGGAAACAGATAAACCCTAATAGAAGCCTGAACACTTCCTCATAATTCTTCAAAGGTTTATGAGTATGAGTAGCAGTTTGCATAAGTAGGTATAAATGAACTCTAACAGATAAAATGAGCTCATATCAAAATCCTGGAAGATTTTAAAGAAAGATAAGCATGTCAGAAAGCCATTTTGTGAGGATGCAGTGTTTTGCGAAACTAACTTTCACCTAATACTGTGACACCGAGAACAGTATTATGTTCTCAGTGTCGAGTTTTACGTCATGCTATAATGTTATTCCCTTATCACTTTCCAACCTGCCCTGACAGTATGAAGACGAAGAAGCAGCGGAAGAATTCAAAATCTCAAGCTTTGTCACGATGGTGCAGGACTGCCAGCGCATTGGAGTTGCATACAGCTCTCAGGGTATGGAGCTTCGCATTTTAATTCCCGCGGTCATCAGTGACACGCATGCTCAAAGATATAACATGATCACAGCCCAAAGTGCCAAACTTGTATGTACTTTATGTAAAGCATAATCTCAAAGGTGAGGAAGACATATTAGATATCATGATATGGATTATTTTATGTCACAATGATGATGTATATTATGATTATGTTATACCACAATTAAGTTTCCAGTTATTCTTTGAAAAAAACTGATGAAGCAAAATAAAATATTTACCTTTCTTTTGAAATTATTTTGAACCAAGCAGTCAGAAATGAGAAAGCTATTTTAATGCAACAATATGTTTGTATTAAATGACAACAGATTAGGAAGCAGTACAGTAGCCTTCTGATTTAAAAAAAAAATTTTTTTTCAACGTTACTGAAATGTACTCAATTTTTAACATTGTTCAAGTGCGTTTTGTTTCAAGTTTTTTGAGCGGAAAAACATATTTTTGCAACTTGCAACCAGGCATAACAAACCTCAGGTCAAGGACAAAGATAAAAGTAATTTTAATTTAATTTAATTGAATTTCACTTTTGTATCAATAAAGTGTTTTTGAATTGAACTGAAGTGTGGGAAAGTGTCCTCACCCGCATACACGTATAACGGGAGAAGGCAGCCATAAACGAGTGATGCGTTTATGGCTGGGAAGTTTTGTTTTGATGACACAATGGGTCAGCAGTTTGTTTACATGTGACTACAAAAGAAGTACAAATAACTACATTAACTGTTATTGGTTTTTGTTTTTATTTTAGGGCACATCCAGAAGTTTGATGTGTTCATGGTGGAAAAGTGGCCCCTGATTCAAGCATTTGCCCTTGAAGGAATAGGCGGTGGGAGCTTTTTTACCATCAAATACAAGGTGCGCTCATATCAAAGTCAGAATCATTGTAGTTTCCCGAACAAAAAATCAGAAAATGTGATATTTTGTAGCTTATCCCATGTTTTATGTAATTATAGATTGTGGATATGAGTGAGAAGCTATGGCAGGTGTACACCAGACTCGACCCAGTGTCCCTGGATAATCTCTTAACAGAGGTAAAACAATACAACTTCTAAACAAGGCATTCTTTAACTCTACCTAAGAAAAATATAAATCACAACCCAGCTACAGAAAATATCTAAACTTGTTCATTTTTGACATTTCGAAGATGTTTTTTTTTCTGCATATTAAATGTCACCTTATGGACGTGTAGAAGAGAAGAATATTAGTTTAATTTTATGCAGTGAGAGTAACACCTTGCATGTTGGATTTAAGGACCTGGGAATCTTTGAGAAGCAGTGGAGCAACTTTTTCTCCCGCATGGACTTGGAGAGTCATCTCTCCATCTTGGATCTGTCTGAGGCACAGGCAGGAGAGGTGAGTTAACGGCCACGTCATGCTACACAATCAGTCAAATGACAGTACGCTTCCTTTATAGCATCTCATTAGTAAGTGTCAGATGGAAATGTTTGTTTGCAGTTGAGAAAAAACTTGAAATGGACTGAAGACACTTTTTTCCTTGTTGTATTATAATATCTATGAGGTCACACTATGTTTTTAAAGAGAGAAATTGGAACACAACTATGGTTCAATCCACTTCTTTCACTTCTGAAATCTAAGGTTTAGTATCAGCCGGTATTTGATTTAAAATGTTTCTTTTTTTTGGAAACACAGACGTAAATATACTGAATTATAAATTTACAAATGCATCTTGTCAAACAAGTAAAAAATAAACTGCAACACATCTTTTCATATGGTTCAGAAAGTTCAGTTATGAATAATATGAATTTATAAGAATGTACTGTGAAATAAATAATAAAGCTTGACGTTGCTCAGAGCACAATGCATAGAATTAGACTGAATAGATCTGCTCTTATGGATCAGAGACGTTGTCAGGATGCTCGATGTAGTTTTTTTTTCCAATATCGGCACCAAAACAGATATTAATATCGTATCGGTGCATCTGTAAACAGACCCAGCCATGGATGTTGTAGCTTTAGGCGTTAGTATTGTTCTTTTACAATAACTTAGGTTAAATTCTCTCTGAATTCTTACTCCATATGCCCGTATATACAGTGTGACATAAAATGCATTGTCATCCATTCTCAGGCTTTCCGTACTTTCTACTGTCACGGGCTGATTTCAAACAACATCTCAGATAAAAGGTATCTTTGTAGCATTTTCTAAATACTAAATATTTTGTGATTTAAAAAAATTAAAAAATCCATCGATTGATCATTTTGACTGTGTTTCAGTAAAAGTCGGCAGCCCTTTGTGCTGTTAGGAAAGCACTCCACCTCTGAGGACCTGGAGAACATTTCCTTCAACTTTCCCTCAGAGAGCCATCAGGTCCGCAACACGGGGCCTCAGGGTTCTGCTGCCAGACACATGGTGAGAGGCAGCAACAGTCTGCACATCAGCAACTCTCTGCACATGTCCAAGTCATGTTTAAGACTGCGGCGCCATCTGGTGATGTAATTTGGAACAACGAGCGGTGTTGCACACTTCTGAATTTTCCCCAAATGAGCTTGTTCTGTTTTCGTTTGTGTCTCTCAGATTCTACAGTGTGTGGCCCCCAAAGGCCCTTTGTCCTGTTCACGAACATATTTCTTTGGGAGTACTCATACCCCGTATCTTGGTGAGATTAATTGAATAAAATAAACAAATCTTTCATTCAGTATCGATTAAATTTTGGAATCTGTTAATCTTTTTTTTTTTTTGCCAAAAGATTTTTTTTTGTTATAAAAGAGGTGCTGCAAAATCTCTTTTTCAATTTTTTTTTTTTTGTAAAAGCTTGATCAGTCAGATAAAATCCCAAATATTATGGTGAAAAGTGAATCCAAAGTGTGCTTAAGGAACCAGTTAAATGTGGAGTATTATGAGAGCAGTGGTAATTATTTTTTAGCACTTCCGGTGTTTTTTTTCTTATTTTGTTTTTATGAACTTGTATTTCTCTGGCAGGCATTCAGATGACAGAGCAAAAGAAAACCGAAGTCTTGTAAGTGTTTTCATCTTTCATGCTCAATTTCTCTCGTTAGATCTTCCTGCTGTCTTCTGTTGAAATATTTCAGAATGTAAGAAAGTTGGGTTTTGTTCCTTTTCTTGTCTTGTTTCCAGAGCAGCATCACAGATTTACTCTGCGGTGGTTCAAGGAGTCTTCTCTGGAATAAAATGCTACTCTAGTACATCCAGTTTCACCGAGGTTAGTAGCAATCGCCCTGGTTTTCCAACGCTCGCAATAAGACGAGCCGATTTCTCATCAGGAAATCCGTTGTAGGCTAAAGATGAGGCGGTGAAGTCGTTTCTTCTGGCGTTGGACTCGATGGATTTAGGCCACTATCGCACTCATCTCAGGTAGAAATATACTAACATGGCTGCTGCAGTAGGACAAATACAAGCCACCAGGCTAAAATTCTTTCCATGTGTTTTCTCTATAGGTCAAAATGTGAATTCAGCATTCAAGCCACAAATAATCAAGGAGTGTAGGTTTTATCTCTTACTCGTCATGTCCAGATATTTAGATTCAGTTCTTTTTTCTGTTAATTGATTGTTTCCACAATCAATTAACAGAAATATGTCGGAATATACACCGTAAAATCTAATCTTTTCTTCAATTTTCAGTGTAATTCCTCTGACTGACGAAGGCAGCCGTTATCTGGTCAAAACGGTAAGTGAGAGACTCACCTTTTTCTTTGGTGATCAGCAGAAAAGCTTGCCTGTTAGGGTTGTGCCAAATAAAATCGATTCACATAAGTATTTAGATTCTCATTTACTAAGATTTGGAATTAATTTAAAACGTCCAAAAATAGATTAAATGAAAAATAAAACAAATCCGCCATCAGTTGGCCTCTGTTTCATAACTACGCCACGACAGTTCACAGTTATTTTCCGACTTGCATTATTATTTTCCTTTTCCCCAATATTCCTTTTTTGATAAACTTCTGATCACACACATATTTTGGGTAGAAGTGGGAAAGAGCAGGAGAGAAAACAATGCCAGAATGAAAGAATAAATAAGTAAATCATCGAAGGATAACTAAAGAATACAGATTCATGTTTAAAACCTAATCAGTGTGGAAAAGACACTTCACTGTGTTTATACAATTCTGCCTCCCAAAGCAAACTGGGGCAGATCATGCTGATCCTTTGCACAACTATCAATCGAAGCAGAAATCATAATGAATCGCATTGTGACCCCAAAAATTTTCCGCCTCTGTGTTTGTTGCAAATTGCGCTTTGTTAAAGGCTTCCCTGATCGTCAGAGACATCCCAGAGCTGCAGGAGAACAGGGGAGAGTTTGGCACCGTGCTCTACTCTGAATCTTTTCTGGAGTCCAGCATCAACATTCAGCAGAGAGGTACAATATTAGATTAGATTACACGAGATTAGATTGTGTCTTATTAGAATAGATTACTGGTTGAATCCGCAAAGTAAATTAGATTTATAAAATAAGCAATATGAATCCAGAGGCCCAGAGTTAGCAGAAAAAGACAAAAGTCTCAGTGGAACAGCAGAGACTAGTCTAAAAATAGCTCTGTTTCCTGCATCAAGCGTTGGGTTTGTCATTCATCTTTTGCTTTCTTCTCTCTTGCTTTGCTGATTATGCTTCTGTAGATGGCACTGTGTCCTCAGACAGCTGCTACGCCATCCTGACTGCAAATGTTCCCCGCTACGCCTGCTGGCTGGTGTGTTTGTGTTTTGATGAAAATACATCCTTTTATAATCTTAAAAAAAAAACATGGCAGCGATTTTCACATTTTCACTTATGTGTTAATATATTAATAAAATAGCTTTTTATTGCGTTGGGTTTATTTTAGATGGAATCTGACGACAAGCTGTCGGGACAAGCCCTGCATCTCGCTATGGTAACGAGAATACTTTCTCGAGATACTTGTGTTTTTTCCCCCCAAGCCTGTCTTTACTATGTGAACCAATGTACAGCAGATAAAACAACCAACAAACGAAAAACGGTTTGTTCTGTTTCGCAAACAGAAAGAGGGTGGCAGTTTTCTGGGAGCTTCTCTGACTGAAGCAGATGCTGCTTATGTGTTTTCCAGTGGCCAGCTCTGCTCACCTGAGGAAGGTGAACCTCTTACAGAAGAATTTCTTTCTTTTTGTCTTATATTTCTGTCCTGTTATTTTTAAGCAGTTAAGCTAAATAAATGCCTGTTGTATTTGTAATTGCAGGTAAAATCAGGTTTTTCTCTGACGGACTCCTGTTCATCCACTCTCAATTTGGGTGCATCACTCTCCCGAAGGATCACATTCGTAAAATCATCTTTTATCTCCCGGTATGCATTTTTATTATTGCCCTGTCAAAATAAACAAAGTTTCACATAGTCTGTCTGTCATGCTTCAAATTGATTATTTATCACTTGAACAATTTGAAAATTGTCACTTTTGCTGATAAACTAGGGATGCGCCGCTTCATTTTTTCACTTCCTATACTGATAAGGTTTAGTATCGGCTGATACCGATCCAATACATAAAATTGATGATAAATTGAGTTAAAAAGTTACTTTTTAAAAAAAAAAAACGCATAAATAATTGTGCGGTATTACAAATTCATTTGATAACTTTGCACCAGAACAGAACACTTAAATACAGCAACAGCTCCACAAGATTGGTCAAATATGTAAAAACAACAGAAATTTGTTCAGTCAGTGCAATTAGAAGTAAAACAGCCAATGGTAAATAAACTGAAACTGACAAAAACAATATGTTGACAATCTCGGTAAACTGAAACCAACCTTTCAAATGGTTAAAAAAAATGCAATCATGAATTCTAAGTATAATGTAAATGAGATATTAGGGCTGATCAGAGCATCTAGTTATAACTCTATTTCCCAGAAAAAGATTAAGTAATAATAAAGTGTATCTAATAAAGTGGATTATCAAGGTGGTTTTTATCAGTCTAGGTCAGAAAAAATAAACAAAGTTTCACATAGTCTGCCCAACTTTGCCACAAAATTGTTTGGTTTCGTAACTGAGAATCTTTTTTTTCTGTTATGCATTTTAGATGTTATATCCATCCAGTCATCCAGGGTTGGTTTTGTCCCACCCTTGGAATATTCACAATTTGTATATTATTTAGTTTTATGTGGCAGCCCAAGACAAATGGTGCCAAACTGTAAAGTGGAAGAAAATAAAATACACAATTTTAATTATATTTACTTGCAAAGGAAATAAAAAGGCAATTTGTTTTTCTTTCCTGTCGCAATTTTTTCTAAAAAAAATACATTGAATTTTGTAGTTGAGATCTGGCAAAAGTATTAAACTTCAAAGGGAAAGACAACTTTTTCTCTTGATAAGGCACTGTATGTTTATGTAAATTTTTAAAAAGTTTACTGTTTATTATTGACTTAAAGCTTATTGATTTCAATGATGGATGTACAAAAAAAATTGCTATGAAAAAAACAGTAACACACTTCCTGTTTTTGTCACACTTAAAGGTGTCATATATTGAAGTAGGGAGCAAATACTTCATCACAAATTCGTATCCTCTGTTACATTAAATGTGTGTGTGGTCTTTTTCACCAGGATTCCTGCAGTGTGGGCTCTCTGTTTGTAGAGTACGAGAGCAGCCTGTTCCCACACCTTCCGTTCCCTCTGCACAGCTCTGATCAGTGTCTACTCTTTGCTCTTCAGCCTAGATCTAAGAGCTTCAAGGCCTTCTTTGCCAAGGTGAGACATCAAGTCCAGAACCTCTAAAGCAGTTTGCCGGCCCTGGAGAAGTTGAGACATGGTTCATTTTTAATGTAAAACTTCAAATGCGCAACGTCTAAAGGAAACCAGAATGATCCGAGACAGCAATATCACTTCAGCGATAGAACTGAAATCAGAGATAGAACTGATATGATTAATCGTATTTAATCAATCATTGAAGTAATCATCACCTCATTGAGTAATCAATTAATAGTTAACTGGAGTAATAAAAAAAAGCCAATTACTGAATGAACAGCACAGTCAGAGCTGACTTGAAGCCAAAATTGGAAAAAAAAAATTGCATTTAACATATGTTTCACAAATTAATCATTTTGCTATTCATCAATTATTTGGTAATCCAAATTTAACCTCCAGATTAGCTCTATTATATATCGATATTAAGTCATGCAGAAAGCACTGAGCTTTTTAAATGTTGTCTGGACATTTTTTATTTTTTAACTCCACATGTATCTTTTGCTACAAATGATCAAATGTTTACTAAAGGAATGCTGCATTATTCCATTTTGCGCAATAAAATGTTTATTTTATTAATTGTGCCGTCTTCTACTGTATGTATAATACTCAACAAAAAAGGCTTAATTGAAAAATCTCCAGTGTGTCACTTTTTTCATTTGATTAATCATCAAAATAATCACTAAATTAATCGATAAGTCAGATAATCGGTCGTTGTAGCCCCAATCTGAGATTTGTCAGAATATACTCTGCAGTTACGTTTGGGTATCAAGCGATACTTTTAGATATACTTTTGTTACTGACTGGGTTTACTTCAAAAATGAGTTTCATTTCAATAACCATATTGCTACAGCAACACACATTAACCAAAAATAAAAACTGCACTTTGTACGTTGCGATGTGATAAAGTCCATTTTGGTGCTCCACAATAATGGAAAAAATTGGAATTGATTCTGATTAGTCTGATCATCATGATGTTACTATAATCAGTTAGTAATTTACAATGTAAAGCTACATTTGTAGCTTTTAGCTTAGTCCACTAACAGGAAAATGTCTGGAACTTTTTCCTTGTACGCTTATTCGAAACATAGACACAGATTGATGTCAGTAAACCTTTTGCCCTCTTGTAGGTTCTGCCAGTGTGGAAAGATCAAGAAGCTGGATTCGGCTTGCAGCTGTTGGACCAAGAGCAGCTGTCCTTGAACCAAAGAAACATGTATGAAGGTTTTTGTTTTCTAGTTAAAGCCAATATAAAAATAGAAATGTTTAAAAATGGCTTTAAAACAAAAAATGTATGTCTATATTGCAATGTAGCATTTCAATTTTGGTTTTTTTTTCCAGGCACACCAGAGTCCAGAAGCTGCATGACAGCCAGGAGCCGCCCGTTGCTAAGCGCAGAGACAACCTCAAGACTTCACACTCCAAGCTGCCAGAGCAGGAAATGTTAGTACTCACAGATTGCCACACTGCATTAGCGTGGCTCTGACATGGACGCTGCAAGTAATAAAACCTGATGCTAGGATTGCTCAGCTATAAATAAGTTTTCTTTAAATAGTGTTAAAGCCTATTTTATTTCTTTTGACAGTGCTGACCGTGTGCATTTAGAAGGTGATTATTTACTCCCGAGCATGTAGAAAATGTGTACCTTAATCAAGAAGGCGAGCATTTTGAAATTATTTTTCAGCAGGTTTTGCTTATTTTGGGGTTTTCTTAAACTATTTCACATTTAGTCACATTACAGCCTCAATCTTCAGTGTAATTGGTTGAATTTTTATGTAAGAGGCCTGAAGAAGTGAAGAAGGAAAAGTCTTTGTGGTTTTCAAGTTTTTTTATAACAGTAAAAATCTTAAAAGTCTTACTGGATAGTATTGTCGTACTCAACGCTTGTAGACACGCACACATCTTGTAAGTAAAATTGTTTCCAATTTTTTTGATGAATGGCTCAAATTCAGATTATGTCATGTAAAAATTTGACCCTCTCATCAAAAGCGTAGTTGTGAGTGTTGCCTTTATTGGGAGTGTGCAAAATGACTGGTAAGACCTCGCTCCACCTTCAAGGACAAAGCTCCTCCTTCAGACTAGCCAACAGCAATTAGCAAACACCTAGTTGAACGGCACATCTGCTGAGGTCATTATACAAGTTACTTCTCAGTGAAACGTTGATTAAAAACGTGACGAAGCCATGTTGAGATAACTAAAGGTGGAGTTTCAGAAAGAGCAGGAGTTTCTTAAAGAGACAGAGGCCCAATTTTAAGACGTTCAATTACAAAATCAAATTTCTTTTAAGTCATATTTGATATATCTGACAATTATGCAACAATTGGATGCAACAGAGTCACTGGATTGTTCCATAAAATCATACTATGTAGCTGGAAAACTCCTTCAATTTTCACACATTCTCAGGTTAAATTCCAACACATTAATATTTTTTGTTCTCAAACGGCTTAAAGCTACAAGTTTAAACAGTTTTTCTTCGAGCACCTTCTCCATTCATACAATTTAAAAACTACCTTTGTATCATTTTACTTTTCACCCCACATTTATGCTCTACTTTCTGATAGTATGTCAAATAAAATTCCCTCACCAAAAAGAAAATCTGAATTACTTTTCATGTGAATCTTTCTCTTGCGTGGCATTTCTCACCCAAAATGTCCACCTGGGTGCCCCATGTTTGGCAGTGAGAAGTTAATCACACTCCTTTGCAAAATTGAGCTTTAAATGATCTTCCCAGTTGGCGGTAATGAAAAAGCTTTATCACCCCCACGTCCGCGTTCATATCTGAAAGCTGGATCAGATCTATATCTTGCTGCAGAACTTGTTTGAGCAAAATTGATCAAAAAATAAAAGCATCGGCGTTAAAATGCACGAAAGCGGCACTGTCCCTCGGTTTATCCGCTTACACTGATGCAGACTGTGTGTGTGTGTGTTTGACCTCTACCAGGTTTCTTCAGCACTTCGCTTTGAGCAGCATCGGTCAGGAGCCCATTCTGTACGACCACCTGGAGGCGCTGTTCCCCTCTGCAGAGCTCACAAACCAAGCCTATGAGAAGGGAGATGAGGTGAGAGAATTTCATCTTTTGAAAAAAAAATATATTAACGAGAATTTTTTTTAAATTTCTTCTCTTACTTTCTGTTTACAATGATTAAAAAGCTAACCCATTTAAAATATCTTTTTAAACATACTTTAAGGTTATCATTAACATTATCACTGGACTGCCTGGAAGCCATAAGAACATCCTTTCTTACTTCTTAGTGGACCAAACCAAAGAAGATGGAAAGTAAGCAATTTTTTATTTAATTTAATGTTTTTTTTCTTCGGAAATAAATGGCCATAGCAGATCTGACGCTTTCAACCAAAACAAACAGGACAAAACAAACGTCTCCCTTCATTACACACACAGGTGGGTGGTGTATGAACCTGACAGCTTCTCAACCTCACACCTCCAGCAGTATTTGTCGAGCTTCCTAGAGAGCCGAAGAGGACGAGGCAAGCCTCGCCTGTTGCTGCTCACACCCGGGTAGGGGAAAAAAAATAATAATCTGAGCGGGAGTAAACATCGAGTGAAAAACAGACTCCTTTTCATTTCATTTTCTGTTACAGAATGGGTTTGTAGTATTTATTTGTTGCGAGATTTTTTAATTAATTGAATCGACTGATTTCATTTTCTCTCCTTCAGATACACAGACGTTCTAGATGTGGTCCAGGCCGTGCTGCTCCACCCAGATGCGGCCGTCCGGGCTCGTTTCGCCGTCGGTGCCGTCACGGCCTGCGTGAACCCGCTGGCGTCTTGTATGGAACATTGGTGAGGTTTCAGGAACTCGGCTTCGCTGCCAGTGGCGGCTGCACCTCCTCTCATACAATCATGGCGGAACTCGGTTTTCATTTACCACAAAGTTTGCAAAAACAATAAAATGATATTGTTTTTGCAAACTTTGTCAATATCATGATAAAACTCAGAGTGCACCGATTTATCGCTCAGCCGATTTATAATCGACCAACAAAGCCGATCTTACTCCCCGATCTTATCTACAAACGCCTTCCTATTTTTATTTGTAAAAATATCTGTTGGGAATTCTTTTTTTTTTTTTACAAATAATTCCAACAGAATTCATTCCAGCAACGTAAAACACGTGCTGTTTTTTTGTTCGGCCTGCCACGTTGAACCTCGAATAAATTGACCATTGAGGCCGCGACGTCACAGATTGAGAAACATTTCAAAGCGTGTGCATAGTTTGGAAAGTCGCTGCTGTCTGTTTTCTCGTTGAGCTGAAGTGAATGCGCATTATTTGTGCTTTCAAGTAACACGGGGTGAGACGAGAAGATTAAAAATAGGACTGTGTGCTGATAAATTTGTGAGATCACAGGATGTTTCCAGAACAGGGTTACATGACACTTTCAGTTATTAAAGCTAAAGGCTGAGCTTTTTTTCTGTTTTTCTTTTTATCAGAGAGGATCATCCCTACATTTAATCTCACTCTGCTATTGTCGCTGGCTTTAGATGCAGCTTATAGTGCTTCTTGTTGCTGTACTCAATATGACATTGCACTCTGATTATTAGGGTGCTTTTGACTGCAAGGCCATGATGAGCTGCCCACTATACTTAACATAAAGATTACATTAGATTCTCTTTTTTTATTTTATGTCCTGTTCTGAAAGCTTAAAAAACACTATATTGGTTCTGGTTCCCTTTCAGTGTTAGGAGCAGATTTTCTTTATGAAAATAGGAAAATTAGATGTTTTTTTTTTTTTTTCTTTTATTGTCCTACAGTTGGGAAATTCTGGTACAAAGTAACAGACAATGAAAGCAGGTAGGTTCACACAAAAATAAGAATATAAAATGACAAAAAATGTAATAACTTCCAACAGAAATACGGTGCAGTTTTTACAAAATAGCTTAACTGGGGCAGTTAATTTAAAAAAATTACAAAATATCTGGGTGTATTGGAGCAGAAATAGACAACAGACTGTTTACATTAAGGGATAAAAGATCCTGTGCAGATAGCGGTAGAAATGCTATTTAAATGATCTATCACAATTAATCAACTAATTAGATAAAAAAAAAAACAATTGCCACATTCTACAGATTTTATCTAACCATATAAGCAGTGTTAAAAATATGCAAAAATGCAGATAAATAATTGAATTTATTTTTTAAATAAGAAAATAAATATTTTATTGCCTAAAATGTGTTGGAATGGATACATCTGCAGCTAAGTCAGTTCTATTGACTATTGTTTTCAATTAAACAATAATTAAAAGAGGTGATTTGTCTGTTTCTTTTCTTTTCAGAATGTGAACCAGCTAAACCTAAAATTAGGTGTCTAAAATAGTTTTGAACATTTTTACACACAAAGAACAGTTTTTCATCTGAAATGCAAAATGTCTTTTTGTTCTGTCCTGTGTTGCTCTGACTGTTTTGTCTTTTCAGAAAATTGCATGTTTTAAAGTCTTTGTGCTCCAGTTAATAAATATTCATCACTAAATCAGTTGACTAATAATTCAATAATCGTTTCAGCGCTATTAAAAATGATACTGTGCAAATACCAGGAAAGCCGTAAACACTTTTTGAGTTTGTTGGAAGCAGTGAGAGATCTAGTGTCCAACAGCTGCTGGGAGGAGAGGAAGGATCTCCAATGTCGCTCATTTGTGCACTTAGGATGCAGCAGTCTGTCACTGGAAGAGGCAAAAATGAGCGGAGCCAGAACAAAAATGACAAAATCAGAACCAGAAAAAGATCAAAAATTTTCAACAGAAGCTCATCATGCTTTCCGCCACTGTTGAAGGCCGTAAACCACAACTGTTGCTCTGACTGTGTGAGGCTATCCCAGGTTAGGCCTGACATTTAATCATAATATAATCAGACGGCACTCGTCTGAATGAAGCTCCCCAGTCAGACCTGACCTCTTCTTTTTGCTGGGTGTGCAGCAGCTCATCACGCACAGACAGGAAAAAATAAATGCCTTTCTAATTACCACGGCTACGAACTTTTAGCCGGGACACTTGGCTCAGAACTAGAAACGGAGCCTAAATTGAGAGCAAAATATGCGATTATGATTGTCCATCAAAGTATCGATGTCAAAACCTTGGAAAAAAAAAAAACATTCTCGTGATGGATTTTTTTTAAAGGTGGTAACGTGGAATTGCTTTGTTGCTGCACCGCCGTGGCCTGCATGTGTCCGTCTTACAGATGCATTAGTATGTCTGGCAGTCAGCCCAGCCTTATTCTCCAGCGTCTTGTAAATTTAACTTGAGTTCTTCTGTGTCTTGTCTTTCACTTCAGGTTTGCTTTTCCCAAGCTGTTGGAACAGTGCAGTCAAGGTTAGTCCCGCTGTGTTCACAGCGGTAAAAATACTCCATCAAACACCTTCTATAAATTTGCCACAATGTTTTGTTTTTTTTTCCCCCCCTTCACCAGTCACCAAAAGGAATTCACTTAAAATTAAGATCTAAAAAAAAAAAAAAAAGAACAAAGCAGTAAAATCAAACCTAGTGTAAAAATCAAGTATTTTTGTATTTTACGGGAATTAAATCTTTATTCCTCTTGAGTTCTGCAGTTTTTTTGGGTGGGGGGTTTTTGGGTTATTTTATTTTATTTTTTTACTTTTGCCTGTGCTGTGTTTGTATTGCCAGGTATTGTGAGTACAGTGGTGTTCACGGGGCTGACAGCAGAGCAGAAGCACCCTCTCATGCAGCATGTTCAGCAGTTGGTACGCTCCGCTAACCCCACCGCTGCCTTCATACCGGCAGAGAGAGGAGCTGTCACCAGGTAGGCGCCCGCAGAATCGTGATCAATGCTGCAAACAGTCGTTTGACTTCTTTTATCTTCGCCTAAAATATTCTATCCAGCTTTGTGACGTCTATTTTTAAATCCGGCGGGGTCAGAGCGCTGCTCATTTGGCACCAAAATATGCTTTTTTAAATCAGTTTCGAGCTTAGTTTAGATGCATGGAGCCTTGCAGAAGTTTTTTCTTGTTTCACGTTTTGTCACATCACCATTACAAGCTGGAATACGTTTTATCAGGATTTTCTGATAGACCACGGGTCTGCAACCTGTGGGTCTTTAGTTCAGTTCCTCCTTTGTGGCTCCTAAATAACTTTTTAAAAAATTGTCAATTTTAAGAAAAATGTGAAGGTGACAAAAAGCCTGTCCAGATTTTGCTGGCAATAGAAATGATGGCGATGAATAATAATGTTGGATGTTTTGACACCACTTTCAAGTAATATAACAATAATGGCACAATCACGCAAGAACACACTCTTAAAGATCAATTAACTTTTAAAAAACATTTAACACAGGAATTGGAAGACATTTTAAATATTTTTGATCATTTTTTTTTTTTGTCTTTTACTTGCAAACTGTTCCATTATTTTTTTGAAATGTTGAAACCGAAAAGCAAAAATACAAGTTGTCTCATTAAAAAAATAACACGTTAACTATCGCACGCATGGGAAAAAATAAGCAAAAAATAAGCATAGAAAAAAATAAGCACATAACTTTTGTGACTATTTTGCGATAGACACTTGATCAATATCAATAGATAATTTAGCTCATAGAATATTTAATATTGTCACCTTTCTAAAGGAGTGGCTTAAATAATTTCTTGCCAAACTGACCTATTGCCTAAAAAAATGGGTTGAATTTTTTTTACCCCCCCAAAATAAAATCCTAAATGTTATTTTTGGAAGGTGACGATGTATAGAAAATTCACGGAACTCTGATCCAAAATCGCACAGCATCCTTGGGAATGTAGGTAGAGGAAAGACTTTAGCTGGCATCAACTACCTCACTCACTCTTGGGTTGCCTAGCAACAACTTGTACAGCGTCAGGTTTTGCCTCTTTGCCTCATAACTGCGTAAAAATAAATAATGGTGTGAAGTGAAAACTTTGGAGAAAACAGGAACCACCAGTTTGGGAATGTTTAATGCAAAAATAAAGAAATCAGTAATTACCGATATCGCCTGATATGAAATGCTTATGTTTTTCCGTTTTTTTTTTGTTTGCCTTTTTTATCATTTTTTTCTCCGAAGAGTTTTTGCGGCGCCAGTGGCTGGTATTTTTGACAGTAGGCAGACAGGAAGGAGGGCGAGGAGAGGGGGGAAGACATGCGGCAAAGGTCGCCGGGACCGGGAGTCGAACCCGTGACACTAACCCCCTGCGCCACAACAGCACACCCCATGTTTTTCAGTCTTATTGTTTAGATCTATACCTGTGATATACCAGCATATAATTGACAGTCATTTAGAAAGAAATGCACGTCACCCTATTAGATTTTTTTTTTTTTGTAAAAAAATTTCAAGATTCGTTTATCATTTTCTCTCCAATCTTGTACAATTTTGTGTTTATCTGTCACATAAAGTCGTTGCTAAACACATTGTAGTATGTAGCATGACGGCCTTAAAAGTCCAAGCGGCACAAATGTCTCTGCGAGTCTTGTTTATTTATTTATTTATTTCGTGCATTGCTGGCACGACTTGTGCTGTAATTGTGTGAAGGAAGTGTGAAGCGGCTGATCTGTATCGTTTCCTCCTCAATCAGGGACGAAGATGTGAGCCTGATACTGTCTGAGAGCAGCTTTGATGAGCTGCAGATGCTGAGAGCGCGCTACGTCCTCTACCCTGGATGGTAAGACCCCTGGCGTCACCACGCTGTCGGTTTAATTGGCGCTCGTCGGCAGCGGCGGGGGCCATCGTCCCCTGATTGCTGGAAAAGGCCCACAAGGCGTCTCATGTTCTCTCACCAGCAGCCTGCCGGCCGCACGGCAACAGGCAGTTGGCTGTGCGGTTTGCCATGTACACACAGGGGGCGGGGGGTCTCTTTCTTTGGACTAGGGCCAGTCAGCCTTCATGCCTCAGTGGTCAGCCTAATATGAACCTCTGCTAAATCCTCCTGTCAGATCACACACACACTATCTGGCCGGAGCCTTTTAATGTGCTCATCTGCAGGCAGTAATTTGTGTAATTTGGTCGTGTTCGTACACGCGAGGGATGAGTCACGCCGCTCCAGAGCTCGTAAAAGTCACACGGGAAACTTTTTCTTTTTTTTTTTTTTTTGTTGCCGACACGAGAAATGGAGGACGGAGCTGCTGCAGTTCAAGCCGCAGACGACCATGCCGCTCCGGCCTTCGATTTCTCACTGTTTGTGTAATGTGCTGCCGTGCTTTCCAGGTGCAAAGGACGCTTCTCCTCTGGCTCGGGGAGTGTGAGCGTCGCCCAGCAGCGTGTGGCTTTCAGCAGACCCCTAGAGAGGCCTCTGTTTGTCATCCGCTGTAAAGGTGAGATGGAAAAAAAAAAGCCCTCTCCCTTCACCCCTAATCCCCTCCCTCCTTTATACATTGTTACATGTGACAGACGTTCCAGATATGAGCTGCCAAGGCTTTATTACATAAGCTGCCTTTTCCTCCATGTATGGAAACAGCTGAGATGGCAGTGCAATCTGAGGCATTGTTGTAAAAATTGTTTTTATTGCTACAGTTATTTATTTATTGCCAGTTTTTTTTTTTTTTTAGAAAATTGTTCAGTTATATTTTTAGGTATTATTTCTGATAAAATGCTTGTCTTGTTTGTTCTGCAGCAATCAAGTCGTCATTAAAGTCGAGTCCATTCAGAGGAAATGTTTACAACATTTGGGGGAAAGTCAGATTTTCAGGTGGGAGTTTTACATTTTGTTATGAACAATTGACATTATTAAATGCATTGCATATTTTGCTAACTTTGAACAGATCCAGGACAAATTCTGGATCCTGAAAATCTTGCTTCAAATAGAGGTTGCTTCTGTTTTTGATATAAATTTACTTTTCCACTTTTGGTAGCTATTGCCAGAGCTACCAAGACTGGTAGAGAGACTGGTTTGGCTTATATTAGTGCTGTCAATCAATCAAATATGAACTCAAGTCTTCTCTAAAACCTGCAGACTCAGCTGGTTTGATGGATGTGCGCTTCAATGCGGTTAGCGGTAGCCTGACCATCATCCTGGACGAGACCCCACTCCACAAAGAGACCGGCTCCTCCTGCTACCTGACCTTCGACGGGGTTGGTCTCATCCAGGACGAGCTGAAGGCCTGGTTGAGACTCTGTACCAAACAGGTCAGTTACGAATGACTAAATACAGCCTAAGGTTGGGGAAAGAAGAGAATAAAAGCTGTTCTTTTTTTCCTTTTCTTTGATGTTTATAGAAGCAGGCCAAGAAAACAAAGAAGACTCCAAACACCCTGTCAGCACAAGAAATCCAGAGCATACATGTGAGTGTATTGTATAGCTTTTTGCGGTTCCCAGCCTTTTTGTCCTTGACCACTTGAATCAAAATGCTCCACCCACCTTCCTGCTCCCAGATAATCACCAGACTGTTTTTTACACTCCTGTTTTAGAACAATTACATTATTGCTTCCATGAAAATAGGGAGAGACCAGACAGGAAACAAAAGCCCAGATGTGATGTTTGTGACAGAAAATTACAGGTCACTGTGCTGCTTAAAGCGCTCGAACGGTCAGTTTTTGGTCTGGTTTGTATGGGTGTTACAGTTCAACTGTCCTGGTATTGCGATTGTCTGACAGCTTGGTGCTTTATTGTATTGTGCTCTTCTTGAAACTGAATTATTTTGGTGGAAAAAAAATCCAAAAACTAAGTAATACTTCTTTTTGATTCAGCTGATTCATACTGGTTCTTTTGTAGCTTCTTGTTCATGTTTTTTTTTTTAAAGCTTTGCGCTTTTACAATTCAATTATTTATATTATTCCTTTGAGTTTAATAAAGCAAAATCAATGGGTTAACTTCTTCATATTTGGTCACAATACCACTGCGAACTTCCTGTAGTTGCTGGCATATGACATTGACACAGTTGCCTGATGCAAATCGCCACGGCGAACATACAAAAAACTAGATACAGTAAGTTATCCACACGTGTAGCCCTTTAATATTTTTGTTTTCCAAAAAATGTTTTTCTTTGAAAATCCATTATGAAACTCACGGAATGATACAAGCATGGACTTAGAGCGTGTTATGGGTTTTAAAAAAAAGAAAGAAATTATAAGAAAAAGTTGCGTAATGACAAAAAAATCCAAAACAAATACACACAAAAGCTAGATTCTATAACATAGTTATTCATACATGTAACCCTCAGATATTTTTTTTTTCTTAAAATTTTCATTTGAAACCCCATAACAGAACACACGCAAATAAGTCCATGCTTGTATTATTCATTATTTCATAATCTAATTCCGACAACAGAAAAATCTGCTGGTTTTGTAAATTTAAAAACATGTCACCCATCATATTTGTATTCAAAGAATCTTTGCACCTCATCATAATTAAATTTTGTTCTAAACATGTGCTGTCGTAAATTATAAAATGTACTTCATGTTCATAGTAATCAGCCGTATTAATAACACATATGGCTTGTTTGTTTTTTTAAAGTTGTTTCATATTGTTTTTTTGTTGTTTTTTTTTTATAGTTGGCTTTATTTCAGGTGTGTAACAATTGTGTATGTTTAAAAAAAAAAAAAAAAAAAAATTCTGGTTTCTCGTCAGGTGGCCCGACACTTGGATCCGCTGCCACCAGGTTATTTCTACAATGGCTACCAATACGTCGACATCTTCGGAGAAAAAAGGAGCTTCCATCCCAGTATCCTTTGCAATGAGCGCCTTCACTCGGCAGCTTATTGCCTGTTGATCCTAATATGTCACTCATGCTTAGTAACCACAAGCAGACACCCTTAATAAAAACACAGCGTCAGCCTGACCTAGCGTTATTACAGTCTGGTAAATGTAAATCAGTTGAGATGGAGCAAGAAGAGCTGAGAACAACAACTCATAATTCAGTCCGCAGATGAATATCCTGCTCTATTTATTGATTAGTTTTTTTTTTTCCCTTACATTTCTGTTTCTGAAGACATGGAAGAGTTCATTAAAGAGTACATCTCTGAGGCCAACGAAGAGATCGAGCAGTTCAACCGTCAGCTGCAGCTGCAAGAGGAGCCTGACTTGTTTGGTCCATAATAGAGTCTGTGTTTGAACGCATCGCCTGTTGGTGGGTGGGGCGGGGCAGATACACAGCACCAGGTCAATAGTTTTCAATGCGTAATCCCTCCACACGCGTCTTCAGAAGGTGCAGCTTCATCGGATTCCTTCCATTTGTCTAACACTGTCACCGTTTTTCTTTTTTTCGTCGAATGGCCTCCAGTCCGTCATGTGAGGCAGCGACCGCCTGCTTGGCACTGAGCTCTGAACGAAACAGCAAGTTGTTTTCATTCGAATCGAAATGCAGACGGATCCGAAACCAAAACACGACCTTATACTCAACATGATTACGGCACAGAGCCTGCGAGCTATGGCACTTTCACAACCGAAGGGGGATTTTCAATCACACACTCTCACAGCTTGAGCATTTCTGTTTGTCACAGTCGGCGAATTAATGCGTCTATTTCTGGGTTGGCTTGAATAGCCGTATGATCCTGGTAGGCTCCCTGGTGGGGTTTCTCAAGAATCGCTCCTCCTCTGTTGTCACCCAATCCGCCGTCCACCTGTTAGCTTGTTCGCGAGCCACGCTGGAGCAGAGGGAGCGTTTGGTCGTGGAGTGGTAAACATTAGAAAGCCTGACGGCTCAATGCTACCGTTTGTCACATCTCCACCAGCCATCTCCGGCTTATTTAAAAAAAAAAGAAAAGAAAAGAAAAACACCCCTCGAGGAGATTGTCATTGTACAGTACTTTAAATTAATTAAGAGTCTAAAACGAGGTTTAGTCATTTCATACCAGCTGTAAGCTGTCAAAAACACATGGAGTCACACAGATGACATTTCCACTTGACATATTTACTCTGTAAACACTTCAGCCAGTTTATTAACGCGTTCTTTCAAATAGGAGAGACAGATCAGTGGTGCTTTTTCAGAATTCTTCTTAAGGCTGCAGTAAGTAACTTTTAAAACCAATATGTTTTTTTTATTTATTTATTTTTTTTATTTGGCATATTTGTTATGTCTGTCACGACAGCATAAAATGAGACAGAATAACCCGAGCTCCTCTGCCTTCTTCCTGTGATTCTTCTGCCATCTGCAGAAATAAACTGCTCTAGGTCAGAAGCAACCAATTGAAGCAAGGAGGAGGGGCTTAGAGCAGTCAATCACCCCTGTGTACGAATGGTGGAAAACCAACTAAACTTTACAGGAAAACAGTTTCTAGTTTGCTAACTTATCTTAACATTCACGGCAGGCTGACTTGCAGGGGTACTAGCTGTCATATAGCAAAGAGCAAGGAAGAAAGTGTGAGCAGCGCATTCACAAGGATAGTTGACAGCGGTAAGACCCTCCTCCTGATTCTGATTGGTTGTTTTTGACCAAGCAGTTTATTTCTGCAGATGGCAGAAGGATCACAGGGTGAAGACAGAGGACCTTGAATTTTTCTTCCCTCACAGATTTTTTGTCTTATGTTATGCTGTCGTGACTGTTTTCACAAATATGTCAACAAATATAAACTATTTCTAAAAAAGAAAATACTGCTGCAAATATTGTCTTCACATTACATTGGTGTCAACATATTTGGGCAAAACCTGGATTTATGTTCATGAATAGCCATTCATGAACATTCATGTGTTCATGTTAGATGTGCATTAGTGGAGCACATAGTTGAAGGCTTAGTCACAAAGATTTGGACTTGATGTCCTTTTTAAGTGAGTTGCTTTGCTGCCATTTGCTCCATGATTGAATACCATGTTGATGTTATATGCATGTTTTTGAAATTGAAGAATTTCCAAACCTGTGTTTTGCTGGTCCTGCACAGGATTTGGAATTCTGCCACTTTTAAGAAAATCAATAGGATAAGCGCAGATTTCACTCGTAAACATGTGCTGGTATTTGTGTGGCCGCATAGTAACATAGTGTAGGCACTCTTGAATAATAAACTCTAAAACTCGATTTCCAGACACATTTTTAATCATTTCAAGTAGGAATCTTTCAAATAAAGATGCACCATTCAGAAATTTTTTGATCTCCGGGTTTTGGAAAAGTTTGACCTGCTGATACGGCAGTAGGCTAATGACAATTTCTCTTTAAACGCAATGACATAAGATGGTAGAACAATATAAAAAAAGCCATTACAGTTAGCCTTCCTCACATAAACAGACTTCATAAATATATCAAGACCAACACAAAATAATGATTGCGTTGATACACAAGCTTCAGCAAAAGTAAAGGCAAAACAAACTAATTGTTTTGGCAATTAGTATGAATTACATGGCTAACATTGTGAAAACGGCAAGTGCGTGTGGAGCCCTTCAGATTCTGATCTTAAGCTGGACATTTTTATCGATAAGTCTATCAACATTTAAACAGTTTTAAAGCACCAAAGGACTTTGTTGTTCGGTTCAGCCTTCCTGTTATCTGTTGAGCCGATTGCTCTCTCGCAGACTGAACAAACAACCCAAATGTTAGCAAGCTGTAAGAAATGCAGTCCATTTAAACTAAAATTTTTTACATTAATTTGACTTTCAGACTTCACAGTTAGTAAAAATAGGTAACTTTAGCCCTTCTCCATTCAGTAACAGAATCCTCACTGTGCAGTACTAACAGTACACCTATTACTAACTGAGTGGAGAGTCTAACAGATCACAATCAACTACAGATTTTCTTGGTGTATCTCTGCTTCTATCTGGAGATTTAAAGGCACACATTCAAAATGTGGTTAGCAATGTAATAAGCAGACTGCACCGTTTAGTCAAGTGGCTAATAAAAGCAGCTTTGGGACGTCGCGTTAGATGAAATTACATTTTTCACCAGGAAATGATCTCATTTGGTGAAACTTTAATACAAATATGTATGTAAACCTGTTAAATGAGCAAAAATGTAATGAATATCGCAAGCTAACCGTCAATGTGACTGCAGTCCGCATGGTCTGGTCTGTAGAAGCCATAACCTTTTAATCTAGTGGAGCTGTAGTCCTTTTGTCAAGTTATGGAGACTACAGAAAATCAGTAGACCATTATCTATCAAAAATTCACATGGAGAGGAGCTTGTTTCATATTTCTTCTCTTAACTATCCTCTTTTCGATAAAAGTGCAATTCCTCTGTGTTTTTATATGTCCTCGTCAGACGCCTCTTTAAGGACGAAGATGAATCAAATGAGCTGCTGAACTCTCCAGCTCCGGTGGCTGGCTTCCTGTCCTTTGCCGCCACCACTGCTCACATGGTAAAATCGAGGGCTTTGTTGCAATTAAATACCATTGGGGGGGAAAAAAAAGTATTACCTCAGCTCACAACGGATGGGACAAAATTCCAACAGATTACGGAGCTTTTTCAGAAATGGTACAGGATTATATAGAACCTTAATCCTTTGGTGACAAAAGGATAACTTGCTTTTAAGCTGGATCCCCGCTTGAACATTTCAACGATGCACTCGGTGAGGCTGTCTGTTTTGAGCAACAGTTGTCACAGTTGTGAGCTTATGCAATACTGCAGAGAGTTGCCTTGACTGACAGCGAGGTGGTTGGGAGGCAGCTGCATGGGAAACCGTTGGCAGACCTTTGAACTCGGCTGTGGATCAAACGGTGGGGAGCCCGAGACCCCCGTCAGTCCTTAAAGAGATGGGGCTTCTGCTTCACGTTGTTGATATTTAAACTAAATTTACACTAACCGATATATAGACTCATTTATCCATGAGTACTATCACAACTCTTGTGTGTAGAATTGCATGTCGAGATGTCATTTGAATATTACAATACATATATTAAAAATTTCTGTTTCTTGAAATGCCTTTCACCAAACTGGTACGACGAAGCAAAGAAAAATCACGTTTATTTTACATACCTGCGAAGAATTAGAATTTACCTCAAAGCAACAAATAGTATTTTTGTAAGACTGTGAATTGAACAAAAAAGGTTTCCTCACGCACAAGCTTCAGCAAAAGTAAAGGCAGATGCAAGTCTTTTGTAGAAAAGCGCGCACACGCACAAAAACAAAAAGGGGAAAAAAACAAAACAAAAAAAAACTGACGAGAATCTGATCAGTTGTGAGACGTCAGGTTTCTCTGATCCAGCGGTGCCTTGGCTACGGCTAAGAAAAGCAGAGATTAAAGCTGCTTTCAGAGCTTCATCCTTCTCCCCGTGACAGGGAAAGGAGGTGCTGTCAGGCGAGAATCTGTCCTTCAACAGTGTTGGTGAAAGGAATCCACGGAGTCGCTCTTTAAAGCAGTGTGTTTTATTTACAAAGCCGGAGGGCGAAAGTGGGCGAAGTCACACAGCGAGGCTGCTGGCAGGCTTGGGGTAAAATCAGGTGCTCTTTTTGAAATTGCGAAAATCTCCAACAAAAGAAAAGAGAGAAATAAATAGAGACAGTAAAAAATCGGGTGATCCTTGTTTATTAAGAATTGGGAGCCCAACTGAGCCCTCCACAGTCCTCCAACGGTGACTGCTTCACAGCTCTTCGGCAAACTGAGCGCTCCTTTGTTTTTGTCTTGTGTGTTGTGGCTGAAGTTATAGGACAAAAACGAAGTTTGGTGTCAATTGGTTCTATAAGGTGGGAGCAGTTGTGATATTCTCATAACTACAGCTTGAGAAAATGTTTTAAATTTATTTTCTACTGTTAAACATTGACATTAGAGGGATAGTTACGATTTTGAAGTGAGATCTGAGAGGTTATCGATGTTGGCTTCCTTCGCTAAACGGATGTCAGAGATGGCAGGCTAATGGCTGCCATCTCTGGCAGGACTCCTGTTTTAGCTCATTTTGGGAACTCAGACTGTCTTTACCTGTGGAATATAACGCTACCTGATATTAACCTCCTGCTTTTTCACAAGTGGCCATTATTTAATTAATCCAGGATTCTCAGGTTGACAACATTGACGTTATTAAGCTAATGTAGCAATCTGCCCAATTATCTCCCAACATATATATATAAGACTAAAAATATATAGGCACTAAATTAAATGGCTATTTAGTCATCTGTAAGACTCTGAGTTGCATTTGGTTCTCTCTGGCTTATAATGAAACAAGTACTTGAACTGACCAAACTTTAACTATATCATCCTACACTCAAGTATTTAAAACAATTAGATCCATTAATGTTTTTTCTCTTTGTGACAAAACCTAAGATTATTTTTGGCATTAGAACAAACGTAAATTAAGTATGAAAACGTTTGTAAAAATTGTCACATTTAGGTTGTGTTCTGCACCGATTGCATGTCTTTTAAATGACACTTTTTAATGTGCCCACATTTTTTTTTTTTTTTGCCATTTCTTAATTTTTCATTTCAAACAGAAATTATTTTCTGGGGGGAGGAATTTGTAAAATCTCAGACCCCGGGCCACCATTAGTGCCGGAATCGCCCCTATAACTGAAAGTAACTTCGTGAAACATCACTTCAGAAAATCTGAACTATCCCTTTAAAACTCTACAGCAGTTTGGCAGGTGCCCACTTGTTAACAAGATGGATATTTTTATGGTATCTTTGCGCGTTTTGAGAAAAGGCAGCTTGAAAATGGATTTTTACCTCCCGGAATATTTCAGTAGCCTAAAGGGAACATTGATGCTAATTGTTTAGACTGTTCTGTCCTGGTAAGGTTAAAAGAAAATCACAGGCTTCACGTCTTTACAGTCCTCCCAGGGAATGAAAGGACTTTGCTCAGGTGTAATGTGATTAACTTGCCTAAGATTCCACATTTGTACGACCAAACTTAAGTGTTACCGAGGCGTACGGAGGTGAAATTGTGCTTGGAATATTCGATGTGTTGCCACACAGAGACTGGTTGCAAAACAACGACAACAAAAAAACATGCTGTTATAGATTTTAAGGAACAGTCATGATGGATGTCAGCGGTTATTTGATGTCGGGACGGCGGGATTATATCTATATTTAAAATAAAGGGCTAATTTATTTTTCAACTTTTACAAGCTGCTAAGACAAAAAAAAGTAACAATTTCTCGTTCTCTATTGTGATGAGAAGCAAAGTAACTTTTAAAAGTGCCAAACCAGATTTTATTCAAAGGGTTCATGAGGAAAGTTAGCTAAAGCGACTTGCATTTGCACAAAACTACTGTAACTTCAGTTTTTTCTCCTGTGACTGATGCTTTTCTTAATTGACTGTTGTATTTATTGCACCACATAAACTAATAAAGTTATTTATATGCAAGAAGGTCTTCTCTTATCCCTCATCGTGTCGTGTGGTGGACTGAATTTGAAAGCCTTACAGGTTGTTCCCAGACAGCGGTGGCAGCAGCAGCAGAGCAGCAGCAGCAGCAGAGCAGCAGCAGCAGCAGAGCAGCAGCAGCAGAGCAGCAGCAGCAGCAGAGCAGCAGCAGCAGAAGAGCAGCAGCAGCAGAGCAGCAGCAGCAGAGCAGCAGCAGCAGCAGAGCAGCAGCAGCAGAGCAGCAGCAGCAGAGCAGCAGCAGCAGCAGCAGCAGCGCTCCCAGCCAGTTCATCGCGGCTGTGGATTTGTCACCTGGTGAGAGAACATGAGTCCTTCCTGCCTTGAAAGCTTGTATCTGCGCCATCTGTGGCAGAGAGGGATTGGGAAAGTTGGGTTAAACAGATCAGCAGTGGACGTAAGAGCTTTTATGTGTGTTTTCATAACATGTTTTTTTTTTTTAAGTGAAAGCCTCGGCCCAAATTCTGCTGAGAGAAATTGAGGATGGCGCCCTACATACCCTTCAATTTCCTAATGCTTCATGAGCCCTGCGTGTGTGTGTGAGAGAAAGAGAAAGGAAGACGGGGCCCTTTGCGTGTCCTTGCATTGTTGCCAGGCAGATCCTGTCCTCCACATGTCTGACCTCTGACATCAGCGTTTCCTCGCCCCTCTCCTGCCACCAGCGTGCCGCCAGTTACTCCCCAGCGACAAAGGGCAAGACTACCCACCCTTTACGCTTTTAGCCCACTTAAAACACTCGCCATATCTCCACTGTTCCCCTTTTTCTCCTGCCCACCCCTCTATTGTTGTATTTTTACCGAGCCGCTGAGCCGAGGCTATTTGTGGGCTATTATGACAGCAACATGTAAACACTCATCACTTCCACTAGCGTCTGCCAAAGCCTGCTGAGTGAGCCCAGGTCATTACAACCATGGATCAGTGTGCTGGATTTATTCATTTTCACACAGATGGAGGCAATGTTTTGTTCTTTATTGTTTTGTTTTTTTCTTTTAATCTATATGTGCTTTTTTTATATATCTTCTTCCTTCTGATCTGACAGGATTTATTCTATCAGAACAAACCATTTGTACTTTTAAACATTTGTCCAAATCTACTTTCAAGACTAATTTTGGAGGGCTACAAGTTTCAATTCTGGGTCCGATTTCATTTTCAGTTTTTTTCTTTGTTTCATTGTTTTGTTGTTGTTTTTTTACTTCCTTTCATTTTTATGTCAATAATCGAGCTATGCTAGTACAAGACGGGGGAAAAAAAAAAAGAGTGTGAATTTCTGTCAAAAAAAACCATCAGATATCTTAAGATTAATCTAAAAGTTTTCTAGAAAAACTGTGCAATTTCTGAGCTCCAGAAGTTGAAGATTTTCTAGAAGAAAAACAAGCAAATGAAAGTTACAAAGTTTTTTGTTGCACATTTTCGACTTTTCAACCTCAGAAACGTCCTCTTTTTTTAAGAGTTTTTCTAATTCACTACTTTTCTTTCTGCCTACAATGATTCTCATCCCTAAACATGTTACTCTAGTGATCATAGTTTAGTCTTCAACTAGAGATTAGTCAGGCTCTTCTTCTCTTAATAAGTATCGAATCAATATTCATACTCCTTCCATTTAAGTAGCCTTTCTAAGTTGTGTTGAAGAAAACCATCAAGTCATTGTTGTCATCATGCCCAGAATACAGCAATGAGCTTTTTATTAGAGTGCATAAGCCATCTCTTTCACAACTCCAAGCCATTTAAGATTCTGCTGCCCAGCTAGTAACACAATATAGGCAGCATGTTGATATGACACCTATTTTCTTTTCTTTACAGTCTCCCAGCAGACTGTAGGACAGATGACAATTCTCTTTTTTTTCTTTTTTTCTCGACTACAAAGCTCTAAATGGCCAAGCTAAACCCGTCCTAACCTGCTCTCTCTCTTCTCTACTGGCCATTGATTCTCTGAGTCGCTGGCATTTTTCCTGTGCAAACTTAGAATCGGGACGGCTTTCCTTCTTGGCACCAATGATCTTCCATTACGACTTAATTTTAACCTGATTCATTTCTCCTGCTGCACAATACTTTACGACTGCGTGTCTGTCAAAAGCGCTTTCAGCAGATTTTATTTACTGACTCGCATGCTTGTGTTCTGCTGCATATCGACCTGCGATGGACAGAGTGGCATTAACGGCCTTGAACCCCGCTTCAGTTCATCTATTTCTGGCAGAGTGGACGGCGTCTTATCGTGCCGCGTGCTCTCTGTAGAGTTTATTTACCAAACGTACGATGAATATGAAAAGGGAGCTCAACATTCTGCGAGTCAATGTTCATGCATTAATGCTGAACATTATCTCACACCTTGTTAAGTTGTTAAGTTAAAATGTAGTGAGAACGCCTCATGCTTGTCACTCCCCAGTTGGGGTCTGACTCATACCTTCCAAATTGGTGTAAAAGTAAAGGCCTAATTCAATGTTTTCTCTTGTTTCTTTTGAAGGAATCTAGACCATATGTTTTAATGACACAAATGTTATCGGTCAAACCTGCACCAAAACCTTTTATTCTGGTTGAGGAAGCACAGAAAAGAGTTGGGGTGGCGCAGCTTTATAAACTAAATGCTGCCTCTTTTTAAAAAAAAATAATAATAACCAAACGATCTAATTAGAAATCACATTGAATATTGTGAATAAAAAATCTGCATAAACCTGTTATTTTCACAATGCATTTTTATTGCATACCTTTTAACAGCAGTTTAGCATTACATACCACACTCACTACACACCAATGCATTCTTGATTGATGTAGCTACATCACTTAGCACCATTTTTAAATATGTAGCTTTAGACAGACTATGACAGTGAAATGCATCTGGTCTTTACTCAGTCATAAAGTTAGGTTAATGCCAGACAAATGGCATTCATCACCTACTCCACTGGTTCAGTATTTTTTTTTTTTCATTTTTAACAAAGGCATGGTCAGTGAGATGCATATGGGACAGATGGGGGAGACATGCAGATGTTTAATAAAATAATAATAATAATAATAATAAAAGCATCTTACAGGAAGTACCTCATACTGAAAGTCAAGCACAAGTCTGTATGTTTGCTTCCTCTGAAGCAGCGGGGCCTTCGCATCTTGTTCTCATTGAATCAACCATGAAAACTGAATATCACAGGCTTCCTGAGTCAATAGAGGTTATTTGACCAACTGGATAAGCTGATTTAAAATTGGATCATCTGACAACAACAGTAAGTCAGAACAGAGCAGAAAATCCACAGCTGATTGGCTCTCAAAAGGAGGAGTGGTGGTGGGGGGTACCTAGGGTAATGGTCTAATAAAAACCCAGCCCTCAGTCTGACTGAGGTTCTCCAGTGGAAGTCTAGCAAACTGCACAAAAAAAAATGTTCCCAATAAACTGAAGCAGATTGGAAAAGAACAAAAGGTAAAACATACACACAAGTTATGAGACAGTTAATGTTATTGAGAAGAGAAAATATTACTGCTAATGGTTCTTCAAGTTTTTATGGCCAGCACTAGAACTGTTGGAGAAGCCTTGTATAAATATGAGGTGAACCTCCATAATAATCTGGAGTCAGTCACTGTCTTGTAGAGCTTCACTGGAACATAGCTCACACACCTATTCACACTTTAAAGTCGAGTCATAAATTCCATTGCGAATATTTAGTTCTAAAATTGACTCTCTTAAACCTAAAAGACAAGAGCTCACAGTTTGACTGGTTTCTCTCGACTCCTGAGTTTTGTCAGTCCTTATTAGCATCTTCAGTCAGAAGCTGCTTTACGTCAAACATCATCAAAACGGACATCTCACTGGAGTCGCCTAAAGAAGCTGCCAGTTTCAGCTGCTGAAGACTGTTTCCACTGAAAACCTCCCCCTCCCACACTCTGCTCTTGTTCAGTTGTAGGTCAATTCGGCTCTCTCCCACCACACTTACCCGGAGGGCTCCAGGGACCCGAACCCTGAAAAGGACCCAGGAGAGCGGCTCCAGTAGGCCCACACGAGGCTCAAACAGTACACATCCTTTCCCCCAGGCAGAGTAGACACAGGGGAATGGAGGTCTTATCTGAGGAGAGGTGTTCCTTAAAACAAAATCACACATTGGGCTGAAATCTCCTCCGGTGGAGATCCGGGCATAGAGTCCTAGCCGATACACCCCAGCCTCGGGTAGACTGAGGCTCACCGTCACCTTACGGTCTGTGTAGGTGCAGAACACGTAACGTGAAAGTGGAAAATTTGAGTTTATGTTCTCTTTGCTGAGAACATAGTGAAGCTCAAGGTCCTGCTGGTTGTGGAAGGTGAGGTTACACTTGCCTTGCTGGGTACTCACAATGGCTGAGTTGTGGCTGAATCTCGATAGCCCTGCATTTGCTGTTCGGGTTCCTGGCCCACATGCCGAGCCCAGATTGGGAGGAAACAGCTCTTCTAATCCAACAACCTTCTCTTTGCAGTGCAATAGGTAATTTGCAGCATTCTGGAACTTGTCTTCTGTCTTCTCATAGTCCCGCACAAACAATGAAAGTCGGTAGAAACCATGAAATGGGCACAAGACATGACATGTGAGTTTATCTGGTTGAATCTGAGTTGCCAGGCAGCACCTGGCTACAGCACCTTCCATTTGTGGATGGACAAGTTCACACAACACCATTAGAGACCGGCAAGTCTTCAACACTAGGTCAAAGACCCCATCTTCCACTTCGGCAACCTGACTGTTCTGGGAACTGCCTATGACACCCAAGGATCCTGCAAAAGGCTGTAGGCCCCAGGACAGGAAAGGGTTCTCTGGCATGTCCTCAGTGGCCCTTGGGTTTGGACACTCAACAGTGAAGGAGCAAACCCAAACCAGAGGAGTTGTAGCGCTTCCAGATCTAGCAAACAATTTGACATCGTATGTGTCACTTTCAGGTGGCAGCAGCTGCAACGTCATACTCCTGTGCGAGACAGTTAGAAGGCCAAAGGAGGAATTGATTGACTCTTTCTGCTCTAAAGCTCCACAGTGGAGGAGATCTTGATGCTGAGTAATCTCATAGGTGAATGTTGTCAGCTTTGAGAAACCGAGGGATATGGTTGCCTCCCCATCATCTGAGAAAGAAGTCAAAGGAACAGTATGATTATACAAGAGTACAGAAGTACATTTAACTAAAAACTTTTAAGACATTCAGCTAAAGTTCTTCTGTAAAATAAAAAAAAGTAGACCTGTGACTATATGATAGTGAAGAGGACTTATCAGGCTGAGCCCCATGGTGAAGAAGGCTGAGGTTTTGAAGACCCTTTGTTCAAATTCCTCAATGGAGATGGGCTTGTCCAAGAGCTGCCATTTCTCCTCATCTGGGAAGTGTGAATCGATGAATTCTTCTGGGTCAGTTAGGAAATAGAAGTCATCAAACCTTGATTAAAAAGGACAAACACCAGTTTGGTCCGGCACTCAACTCCCAAGTCCAGTAAGAAAGCAACCAGTACTACAAAGCTGTTAAACTTTAGTGACTACTCCTCTGCACTTGTACTGTTTGAAGCTAAACAATGTTAGATTAATTTTAGGATCATTTCCTTTCTGCACCTTTTGACAAAGCTTTCATGTTGCATATCTACTCGTCCAGCTCCCCAACAGGCATCCAGGAGGAACCAGTCCCCCCCCAGAAGCACAGCGTTCCACAGGTGATCCGACTTCACATTCTTTAAACTATGACCTTGCCGGTAACCGATGCCCTTGCTGTGGCCTGGCACTTCTTGGCATTTGATGCCCACTTCTCTGTAAACAAAGACCAAGCACAACATGTTTTCACTTGTCTTTTGTTCATTATGACCTAACATCCTTTAGGTTTGTCAGAGGACATGGTGAAGTATTCTGCCTTCCGATTTTAGGAGATTCAACAGCACTCAATGTGAGCAACACTTTAACATCTCTTGACGTCTCTGGACTTGCCTAACATCCACTAGTCTTCATTCAGTCTCCAAGGTAACCAATTGTTGACCTGGCTAGTGGGTGGTGGTTGTGTTCAACATTTCCATTATAGTTGACTCAGAAAGAACCTTTATCATCATATCTCATAGTTATCTGTAAGGGATGGTGGTACATCCAGCTTGATTCAGGCGCATTGCTATGGAGATGACCATAAACAAAATGGGGTTGCCTATGACACTCAAGGATCCTGCAAAAGGCTGTAGGCCCCAGGACAGAAAAGGTTTCTCTGGCATGTCCTCAGTGACCCTTGAGCTTGGACACTCAACAGTGTCCAAACTCAAGGCTGTAAATAACTCATCCTGTTCTCCATGGCAAGAAGATGGATAAGAAAACAAACAGTAATATAGTTGTTCTATTGCCTAGCTTCTGGGTCCAGACACACTGCATCCTATGCATCTTCATTTTGACCAGTGTTGCCATTGTTGCCTTGAAAAAGTATTCAGACACTATTAATTACTGAATAGTCTTTAAAAAATGACTTGGTTATTTTACTAACAATGTCAAAAGTGATCAAATTAGATTACAAGTTGTCTTATCAATCACATTCAGCCCATGGCCCCTTTCCAATACTCACGTTATTGAATGGCTAGTTCAGTAAAGTGTCATTAATGTCATTAATTTTTCTCTGGACACTTCTTTTTTTTAACAAAAAAAAGAAAAAAAAGTGTGAAAATTGGTAAACATGTTACCCCATGGAGTCAAAGGTTTAAACACTTTTGACAGACACTCTGACTGTCAATTTTAAAATGACTGCTGTTGTATTTGTGTTTCTTGTTGCAGTGCAATAACAGTTTCGGGCATCAAGAGTGATTGCGATCACCTGCACATCTCTGTACAGAGATTGGAGTAGCCACAGCAAACCCCGCGGCCGGCCGCGATCACCTCCTCCGGGGAGCTCAGCTTTTCTGTGTGGCCCAGATAGCCGCTCACGTCGTACTCTGTGAAGAGATTTGACACCTGCTTGCAGAACAGATCGCTCTCAAAGTATTAGTACTTCATAGAACGGTGCAGGTTAGGGTTCTGCTGTTCCGCAAACTCACCAATGTTGTTACACAGCCACACCCAGATGGCGCGTAGTTGCTCCAGCTCGTTTCTGCATCCCTGTGTGATGCTTTGTACAATTGTCTTCACGTCATACACGCGCTTCAGTTTCAGCTGGACAACACACACACATGTACACGCGTATAAATTAACCATCCAGTTAAAAAAAAACTAGTTTCTCCGGGCCAATAACGCCAGATCTAATCTAACAACATCAAAAACGTTTTTTTTTTTCCAAACAGCTGAGTATCATGTATTTTGAATGAAGAAGGTTGCCCTCAGATCTGCTTTGCTTGATGCCTTTTATTTTAATTTTATTTTTTTTCCTGCAGTAGATGAGCTAAATTATTGAATGGCTAGTTTTAAATTGGTAATACTGTTTATGTTTACTGGTGAAAGAGAACAGCCAGGCACTGCTACGGATAATGAACCGGACTGGACACGGGAGGCATTCTTCAGGTGTAACGGTACAGCAGGGTGTGTCCTCACCTCCACTCCGGCCCTGATGACATGGGAGTCCAGCCTGTGGAAGACCTCTGAGCTCTTGAACAGGCTCTTCTGATGCTTTCTTTTGCCTGGCAGAGCAGCTTTCACTCCTCCTCCTTGTCCCAGTTGTGCTTTCTGGTGCAGGTGTTTCTGTTCATTTGGCTCCTTCCTCAGTGCACTTTTTTTCACAGCTGTGATGGACTTGGCTGCGCTCTCTGAGGACAGCTGCCTCTTTGCTGCCGGACGTTGATCCTCGCCCTCCACTCTCAGATTTTCTGCCACGCTTTGCCTGGCAACCATGGCATTCTGGGAGGCCTCTGGACTGACGCAGGGCCGGGCGGCACCTGTGTCTCCCCCGTCGGGAGGTTTTGTGCTCTCCAGAGCTCGGTCCTCATTCTTCACAAATGCCTGTACAACTGTAATGCGGTTCTCCTCCCCTAATGTTGGGTTCTCTTTAAGTTTATGAACTTCTGGGTTCTTTAGCTGTACCTCCTGGGTCACCTTGTCTTGAGAAGAAAGGCTTACAGAGCAGGCAAATGGAAAGGAGAACTTGTGCAATGAAACTTGGGCAGACATTACGCTGGGGGCATGGTGTTCTGTGAAGAGAGAAGGGAGGTGGGATTTAAAGCAGGTGCTGGTCCCTGCGGTACTTCAGCTGTGTGCCTTTACTTTGGATGTTTCATGCACAACTTTTTGACAAAACCGGGCTTGTCTGCTGCTGTGTTTTCCAAGCCGGCCATGTGGCAAATCATGCTGCCAGGGGAACCTTACACTGTCTTCTTGAAAACTGAATTTTCTATAAACCTGTTCATAGCCAGCTACAAATGAGTGAATAGTTCGCTCATTTTCATTAAGAGCCATAATCTCTTGTATTTTGTAGTGGTCAACTAGCCCAAATGAGTATCAGAAATAAAATGACTGGAAATTGGGTGTAATGTAGCCTGGTTGTTGTACAGTGTTTGCTTTGTCTGGACTCTCAGCTGTTGAGAAAGAACTGCTTCCTGGAGGCGTGGACTCTGTTGAGGTTTGAAACTTTAGCCAATCGCTAACGTTTGTCTGTGACGTATGTAATGCGCCAGTTCAACGCTATGAATCTTACCGGAAATTATCTGCGGCGCAAACAACCATCCTCCCCTGCGAAGAGAGAACCGCGGAGCCGAACGAGGTGGTTGTCAACGTTGAATCATTATTTGGATGTGTGGCCAAAATAAACCAAACAACTTTGTTCACTTGCTCTGCTGCCATTGTTAAAACTCCACTCAGACTACATTTGGCAATATGGCAACTCCTCAAAAACCTTAATCACTCAGAACATTCTTTCTGTTTGCTGATTGGCCAAGTAAAAATTCTACAGGAAGAATCCAAGTGAAGGGGAGAAAGCCCAGTGTGTGGTGTGAATGGAATTGCATGTAAAGACAATGGGAAGGCTGTGTTTAATGCAAAGTTTTCAGATTTCCTGACTGGTAAACTTCCATTATTTCTGACAACAACAACAAAAAAAAATCAACTGATGACCGTTCAAGTACATGAGTGTGACACTGTTTGTTTACGGCAACAAAACGGATGTGAAACATCATTTCTGAGGTATCCTTCCACATCAGACTCTTAATCCTCATAATGCTTGCCGCATGCGGAGAGATTATTCTTACAGCACATTCCATTAAAGACAGTGATAAATCTGCAATTAGATAAAGTCTATTCATAACCATAAATGAAACCAAAGATTAGAACCATTAGTCAGTGTCACAGCTCCAGCACAAAGAAGCCTTGTGACACTTCCTGCTCGCCGACGAACATGTTCATTGTGAGATATAAATAAGCCACATATGGGAACACGTTCATCTGGTAAAAAACAACTCATTATTTCAAAGAGGAAGCCATTGGCACAGTGACCGTCCTTCTGCCGTGACCCAGGCTAAAGGCCTGTGTTGGCTCACATCTGCCCTGCTCAAGTGTCCCTCTGCAGATCATTAAGCGTTGCTGCGGCAGCCAGTGGACCGCAGCTAACCCCGACCTCAACATTTCTTGGAGTGCAATAAAAAGTCCCAAACTGTGCATCAACCTTCGTGTTGGGGTAAATTGAATTCCAACTAGCAAAAAAATAAAAAATGTCACGTTCAATATGGCAGCTCCTCAAAATCCTTAATCACTCAGAACATTCTTTCTGTTGCTGCATGTTGTCGAGGCGTCGACTTACCCTTTCTTTTCAGAATGCTTTATGTGTGGTGGATGCCTGCCGGTCTGCCGGCCGATGATGTTTCCACTGTGTGCTCTCACTGGTCCCCGGTCGTTGGTGGGGAGGTTTAAATACTGTACAAGTGTCCTGCCAGGACAGGCCCCAGAATAACGGGCCTAAAAATACTACAAAGCAGTTAAGACCGGCCAATAAAAAACAAGCCCCGGCCGAGGAGTGTGTCGGTGTGTGTGCGTACGAGCGTGAACGCGCTCTCATGATGTACGCTGCGACTTGCTGTGGGTATGCTTTACGTGGATCATCTGGTCGGTGCATCCACAACAGAGCTTAGGACTCAAGTGAGTGTGAAATAGTGGTTGCGCAAACATTATGTAAGTCGGTGTGTATTTTGTAAGAAGTGTGAAAGAGTGATTTATTTTCTGTTTCGAGCCCTCGGGGTATCTGAGCCAAAATATCAATCAGTGAGTGGTAAGTGGTCTCACATCTCCCCCGTCTACATAGTCAATATAAAGGTAAAATTGCTTTCATTTCTGCGACGCGAGTTGTCATTTTTCATACTGAAATGCTTATTCGGCTATGTTGGACTCTATCGACGTATATAAACAATCATTCATCACAATCAGCCTAATGTTCTATCAACAACTTCTACCAAATGATCGCGTATTTTAAGGAGTGAAGCACATCTATATTCCAAAGATTAAGACAGATTTACCATCTTTAAAGTTAACTCGGTGTAAAGAAAGATGCATTTTTCTAATCATTTGCGTCAAAGAAACAACCACCAAAAAATAAACAAGTAAACCACTACAGTGTGGACAACGAAATGTAATATAAACTTTATGATCTCATTTCTGGTCCAACATGCATTAAAAGTTGGACCTGTTAAACTTCTCTCAGGAGTTTAACGGAAAAGGTTCGGTGGCCTGGAGTTCTGGGACTAAAACTTTACATTAATTTATGGTAGGAAAGCTTGGAAGAGGGGGAGAAAAAAAAAAGAAAGTAGCAGCTTAAAATTGAAACGACTTGGACAGATCAGTTTCTCACACCAGAAGTGCCAGGAAAGAGCAGGACAAGAGAGTGCCCACTTTGTGGCTCAGATGGCCGTTTTATTTTCTTGGAACTCGCTGTTGCTGGTTTTCATTACCTTCATCTCTCTCTCTGGTGGGGAGTCGGGGCGGGGGGATGGATAGACAAGCAGCTTTGGCTCCATCAGCAGTTCTCTCTGTCCAGGAAAGTCACTCGGCCGAAAAGTCTGTCGGTTTTGGGACGAGTACGGTCCAAGAGGTCAAGAGGTTCCTTACATCTGACGTAGAATCAGGTTGTATGAAGAAAAGAATGACATAAGAAACTGACATTGTCACTTCAGTTCAGTTTATTCCCCAGTCTCAGGACGCCTCCAATAGGGTTTCTTGCTGGTTGACCTGTTTTTGCTTCATCTTAACTACCCAGTTTACCTCCATTTGCTAAACAAGTGTGGTTTATGGCAAACTGCTATAGGACTTCTTATAAAATGCTTGTAGCAATGAGTTTCTTCTTGCCACCTCTGACCCCAGCTAATAGTTGCCCTCAGATCCCACCTGAGGTCTTCCACAGTTACTGTGGCCCTCTTGGCTGCTTTTACCAATAGTCCTGACCTTGTCCTTGCTTGCCCTGTTAGTTTAAGTGGACAGCCAAGAATTGGTAGCTTTACACTTGTGCGACGCTCTTTCCGTTTACAATCATGGATTGCGTTCCTTTATGCTTAAAGCTTGGAATATTGTTGTATAACCAACCCCCGTTTCTTCTGATGAACTTTAACCCTTGGCCTGCCGGTTGTGTTCTTTGGACTTCATAATTCAGTTTGCTCTCTGATGTCCTCTATCAAACATCTGAGGCCTTCATAGAACAACTGCCTAGATAAACGGAGATTAAATGTGCTATTTACACGAGTTCTGAAGGCTGTTGACTGTACTACATTTTATTACTGTGATACAAGAGGAAAGATTTCTACAAAGGCTTATAATCACGAGAATTGAATCATGTTATGAGAATAAAGACATAATAATAATATGTGAAAACAGTTGCAATATTATGAGAATAAAGTTCCAATATTTCATAATAAAGTCACAAGGAAATTGTTGTAATGATATGAGAATAAAGTCAATATAGTACCAGAATAATGCTGTACGCATAAAAACATGTTATGCAACATAAAGCATTTCTCATATGTTTCTTGTCCATAAACTGCCTTGAACATGGAACCAAATGGGGGTGAAAATCAACTTATTCATGTCAAAGTGTCAAAATACTAAAACATGAGGGAGGAGGGGGAAAAAAAGACTTTAAAGGGTTAGCGTTTAAAAGGAGACAAACATCTAGGGAGAAACGAATCAATAAGACATTCCTCTCTTTGAGTGCCACAGTTGAGAAGGAAACCTTTTCAAACGCACAGAGTTTATTACTGAGCGTAGTGTAAACCGAGCAAAGCAGAGTGATGCACCGGGACCTGTTCTGAAGAAGAAATACGGTCCTAACTTTGCAGTAATCAAAGCTCAGTCCGGCATCTTCTCCAGCGTCCGCCATCGGCGGCTTTGAACTCTTGGGTTTAACCAATTTTATGCCTCGCGAGAGCTTGTCTCCAGGCTGTTTTCGTGCAGAGGGAGATGAGACCATTAAGGTTTTCTCACCTCTGCCTTCAACTCAGTAGTCAGTCGTCTGCAGTGCATTTCTGCATGCTAATACAATCCTACAGGAAGGAAGGCGAAAAAGAACCGGTCCTCAAACGCAGAGTTTATCAATCCTGTGTAAAAGAAGTCGACAAGAATAAAAGCGAGATCTCATTGGGCCATCGTCGTGAACATCTCAACCCTGCGGGTACGGCGTTGCGTAACCTCGCCATATGCCCGTGTTGATGTTGATGCGTGGCCGCCGCAGCGGGGGCCGAAAGGGGACAGCCACCTTTACTGGTTGTGGATCTTGATCCAGAGCCAGACGAGTGTGAAACCACAGAGTGATGATGCCATCTGGAGCAGCTGTCAGCCAAGGAATCTCTTTCAGGCTTATTAGAGGGAGCAGAGGAGCAGGAGGGGTGTTCTCTGCAGCTCAAAGAGAGGTAGAGGGAGGACATGAGGCACCACAGTGGCACAGAACCAGGAAAAAGGAAATTACTGCAGGCTGAAAGAGGAGAGATGTTGATCAGTTTCCCATGCTCTGAAGACTTTCCTCAAAAAGAGAAAGTATGGATGCGGGATAGAGTTTTGGGGGGATCCGTGAAATCCTACCGTAACTCCAATAGTTTTGACATGTTTTAGGGGGATATAACGCATTTGCAAATAAACGGTGTACGGAGGGAATTAATCAAAAGACACGGAAAATAATTAATTCTGACTTGAAAGTGGCTGGAGCCGCGTTGCATCATAACCAGTCCTGGGTGTGTGCAGCGCTGAGGCCAATTATTGTACATCCCCATCCCGTTTGTGACCAGAGGCGCACAAACAACTTTTCAGAGTAATTATTCTCCAAACACACGGCGTACGAGCGGCAGTCTGTTTATCAGCAGAAAGCCTTTTTTAATCTGTTCCGTAACAGAGCGGATGAAGCGGGTTTGTGTTGTGTGTTTATGCCATGAGTTGTCCTGTTTGGCAAGATCAAGAAGGAAGAGAGCGTTGCACCCCGCTGGTGACAAAGACCCAATGAGTTCCTCTGATTTTCACGAGGACGGCAGAGCTGGGCTACACTCTCCGTTTGATGATAAAAGCTGGTTCAGCTGTAATAGGGGGGAAGTCTAGTTTTCCCATCTCTGAAATTTGAAATCCGTCAATAAGAAGATAGTTTATCACAGACTGTTTCTAGCAGCATTGTGTAGACTGAGTTATTGACCAAAACCCACCTGTGTAGAATTGATTCAGAACCATAATTACCTGAACACTGACCAACACATATGATGTGTATTGATTGTTTTGATGATGGCTCTCTGTAGATAAATTATAATGGAAATAATGTTTTAATCAATTCTTTTGTTTGTTTGTTTGTTTGCCTAGAGAATCCGGTTTGTTTGAGGAGGTGTAAATGGGCAGTCGGACCCTGATGTGGAGCAAAAAAACGCAAACTCCGGCTCGGTTCCAAATGAATATGTGAATGCCGAGCAGAGTGGAGAACGCCACGTTCGGTTGCTTCTTCAGAGGCAACCAGTCGTGGCGACTGATCGTGCCCTCACCTGTTCCCCTACACAGGCGAGGAGGGGAACAGGTTGCTCGAAAGGTTTGGTTCGTTTGACACAGTGGAGTGTGATAGTGAACCGTACCGGGTGGAAAATATGGCCGATGTTGCCATTTTGGTCCACAGTCAAACTGAGTCTGCTGGATCATATTCAGGAAAATTGAACAAAAGGAGGCTTAATCCAAATACGTTCCACACTTTTCAGATTTTTAATGTCATTTTTAAAGACACCTTTTTCTCTATTTTACAACTTTTACTGCATTTTTTTTGTTTGTTTTTTTAGAACTATTAATATTGTATGTCAGATAAAATCACAATACACTGAATTTATGGTTCTGATACCAGGACAGAATTATGAAAGTTCCTGGGTTATGAGCTCCTTCCAAAGCCGAGTACTTCCTGTTTGATTTGAAGTTAGAGATTATGCAAACGCGAGGTGCATACAGAGTTTATCACAACTCCTTTTACAACAACTAAAGGCTTCACATCACAGTGAGGTTTCTGCTACTGTTAATGTGTTCTGATAGGGTCGTGCTAAATATAGGACGGCTACCTGCGGCCTCTTAGGATGAATCAATCTAATACCTGATGTCATCCCAACTTATGTAAAGAACTCCCAGCACTGAGAGCACTGTGTCTAGCTTTTAACAAGCAGCACAAACCACAGCAGTCTGGACTGCTGGCCCCCTTAAAGAACCATTTTAATGCTATGATTATGTATTTTAAATTTAATCTTGAACAATGAGAGTACACTGAGAAAAACTTTTAGGTAAGCCAGTCCCGCTGGAATAAAGGCAAGCGCAAACGTTGTGATGAGTCACTCACGTTGATCATCTTCATGCATGACAATGAATGCTGCCAGGAATCCCACTGTGTCATTGGCTGCTGTGGACATGAAAGGGGAGAAACTCATGG